AGCTTTTTATTCACTAATTATATCATGCACTTCAAATCATACTTGAAGGCGCCTATTCATAATAGACATATATATCTTACAAGTGGAATCTGTAAGTGAAATGACTTTATACTTATTTGGACCATTTTACAACCTGACTTAAATAAAGGGTAAATAATGCTATCACCACAAGAGTTGGAAAACCTACCATTATCAATAATAGAATTAGAAAGCTAGGAGTAAGTAAAAGAGTAAGTTATGGAACAATAAGATGTCTACAAGCTTTCAAAAACTGTTTCAGGTTTGTAGTTATGCCTTTTCTATGCAAATGTTTTAATAAGTAATTAGAAAAAAGGCGTTTTCTCAAACAGTAGGTCGTGTTCTATAATAATTCCATTGCATAAAAAATGGTGACCTGAGTGACCCGGACAACTTTACTAAAGGGGTATTTTATGATGAGCATTCTAGAAAAAGTATTTACAACAATATCAAATAACAGAATTTCTAAATGGACGAACATGCGTTATACAATTCCTGAATTTCAAGCTGGCTTCAGAAAAAATATTCTACCTCAGATCATATATTAACCTTTATGTACTTATCCAAAAGGAGATACGACAAAAGCGTAAATTGTATGTAGCATTTGTAGATTTCAAAAAAAGCTTTTAATTCAGTTAGCTCTAAGGTATGGAAATGCCAACTGAAAGTTTTGCCAATGGGGGAAAATGTCTGCTATTATAATAGTTGACATATTGTAATGTGAGGTCATATGTTCGCAACAGATAAAGAAATTTCTTTGATAGTCTTTTTGGCTGTATTTTGAGTCCTATCGTATTTTCATTTTTCATTAATAAATCATGTATTGAAATAGATTGAAATGGTAAACAGGCTATCCAAATGTTTCCGGACCAAATAGAAGCTTTCGTGTTATTTTTTGCAAGACGATGTCATTTTAGTGCCAGATACTGTTGTTGGTATTCAAAGACAACTACATATTCTAAATGCATACACAAAAGAATGAAAATTATCAGTGAATCTAGAAAAAACTAAAATTGTGATCTGAAATAGCGCTGAAAGAAAGGTGGTTATTTGATGGCCAGTTAGTCAGTTTAGTGGATCATTGTTCACATTTAGGAATCTGAAAGTTGAAAAAATGTGCCCAAGATTGATTATTGTGTGGAAAGAAAGCTTTAATAAGTGTAATGTTTATTGTCCACAAAGTTGGAACAATATAACCTAATATGTTCCTTAAGCTCTTTGATACCCAGATGCAACCAATTGTGTTATATGGCTCGGAAGTATGGGGATTTCAGCCGCATGACTGTTTGAAGAAGGTCCACTTTTTAGCATGTAAGCAATTCCTTTGTGTTCGATCTTCTACACCAAATTGTATGGTATATGGTGAATGTGGTAGAACCCCATTATATATCAATTCCCAAATTAGATGTTTATGTACGAACAACGTCTCCCAAAATTAGTTAAAACATGCTTTTACATTTTAGATGTCAAGGGAAAAGTTACATGGGTATCGTACATAAGGAATATTCCATTTTCCCATGATTATGGTTTTATATGGTTATGTCAGTCAGTTGGAAGTGAAGACATGCTTATTGAAAAATTTAGAACTCAGTCTGTAAAATATGTTTTACCAAGAATGGTATTCCACTTTAGAAGATAGCTCACGATATGTTCATTACAAAACTTTCAAGACCTTACCTTAACCATAAATATATTTATCAATACTCACTGCGGAAAATTTAAGGACACATTTTATAAAATATCGGCTGGGTTTATTAGACCTTTTTGTCAATGAAAGAAGAAAACTTCAAAACGAATCTGTCAATCATGCGAAATAGAAACAGAAAATGAAATTCACTTTGTGTTTGTCTGTCCATTACATAGTGACCTTCATATGAAATACATTAAGATTATGTGATACGGATGCCGCCGATGAAAGTGTTCGTGTATATTTTATCGACTAAGAACGAATCTCTTATATTAAATCTTCCACTATATATTTAGCATGCATTAGTTAAAAGAAATGAGCAGTTACTGTTTGAAGAACGTGTAACTAGCTGCGTGTAGTACACATACATATATGTAAGATAGTTTCTTCTAAACCACCTTGACCTGACTTGAATGACGAACCCCTTGACTGTAACATCGACAGACCTGGACGGGACGTCGTTGTCGACCACGTTTACAGTCAGTGTAAACCTAGTCGGGCCGTTGTCCTTGAAAGCTATAAAAAACAGTACACACATCCGTGACTTGTAACGTGTATATTGAATGCTGTATAAGTAGCTACAGAAGTCAGACGTGAAAACTAAGAGTGACATAGTGAGGAGATAATTAACTTTAGCGTTATCGTCTCCTCGTTTTTTTATCCCATTTTTATAAACCAAAAGATTCATAGTTTTTTAATGATTTTCATATTAACTGAAGAGTCACAATAATTATAATTCTGTGAGTGAGTTTGGTTTTATGTCGCTTTTAGCATGATTCCAGTTATATTACGGCAGGGGACAACAGAAATGGGCTTCACACATAGTACCCATGTGGGGAATCGAACCCGGGTCTTCGGCGTGACGAGCGATTACTTTAACCACTAGGCTACCCCACCGAACCAATACATCTGTGAATATTGTACGGTATTTCTTACGTGCTGTTGTAGCGTTAATGGCGAAGAAGCCAGGTTTGTCACTGCTACTGATGGTGTATGTCAGGGTGTCGGGGGTGTCCGTGTTGGTACACGTTATGGTCGTCACCTACAACATACGATCGGATGATGAGGATTCCGTCAGGTCTAGCAGAGCTGGGGTCATTTCCCTGAGAGATGTTCCTTTCTTTACATATGTTTGGTAAGGACACATTATTAATGATAACTGGGGCTGAGTTCTCTGAATTTGTGGTTTACACCGAAAAAGACTTGTACATTGAGCGTATTTTCCCAGACATTGAATACATGGCATGTATGCTAGAAAAGCTATGAACATGCAAAACCATTTCTGGACATGTAAATTGTACAAGAATTGAATGTGTTAACTACCAAGTGCTTTTGGATATTCATTGTTCACTATCCTATTTAAAACAATGTCTCCTTCTTGTTATGAAAGATCTTGAAATTAGCTATATAACTTTAAAATGTTTTAAATTGATTATAATAGCCTAATGGTTTTGGTTTGCTAATACTATTAGCTTCATCTGAAAATATGCAATTACGACTTTGCCATAATTGACTGCCCACAACTGAGCTTTTCCATGTTATACTTACATGATTCATCAGTCTGCAGCTGTGTACCTTGATTCTGTTCTACAGACCCTTCCTGAGGGACATTTATCTATCTCTTTGAAACAGTTCTCTGAAATAACAATTTTTTTTAGAAAAATAGTTATTTGTAGTAAATATGTGGCAATATTGTATTATCATATTTTTTGTAAATCTAAATTAGGTAAATTTATGAAGTAAGTAGTTTACCCTTATAGCCTGTTGTCACTTTACTTATGTATAGATCTCATTTATTTTTGACAGATTATTCATCTTACACAATGGTTTAATCTTTTTCTTTTGTTATTTTAGATTTGTTAGTTTTATTTACGGGGATATTTTGTTATCGCACTTGTTTCTGTATAATTTGTTACAGATCAATCTTCTTTACAATCTTATTTAATAATTTATCATAATTACACAACTTTGAGGTCAACCATTTCAGGTGTACTTTATATCAGTCACAATTAAGTTTTGTGTTGTTATTTTTATGCTTTATATTTATATGTTGTTGTTATCGCTCTTGTTTTATAATCACATGGTTATACGTTTTGGGGATGCATGAAATAAGTTGATAATTTTTCTTCATTATCCAAATTTTGGGATTAAATACAGTCATCATACACTGACAAGTGATCACAAAATAAAAATAGATGAGGTACTATTCTTTTGTTGTGTTGTTTCTTACATACTGATGTTTGTCACATTAATAAACTCTTTTTCCAATAATTATAGTAAAGTTTGCAATATGAGCACAAAAACATCAAAACAACTCTTAATAGGCATTGTATTCTTGAAATGTTAAACTGTTTACATACACTTTTTTTTTTTTAAATATACTAGTACCTTAGAGATGAATCACAGGTATCCAGACAGATCCTCTTTGGTGGTGGCCAGGTTGGTGTCGAATTTCCCCCAATAGGAATAGGGTATGGGAACTCTGCTGTTGGTCTTGAAATGCTGTCAAAACAGTACATTGATTATCAAAGTCTTCAGACATTTAACACTAATCACATGTATATAAAGTGAGCAAAGTCAAAAATTGATTTTTGATAATATGAAATCACAATATCTGCTGGCAGTACCACAATCTGACAATTTGGGCATTTTTCTTATTGATTATAAAAAGTCATTGTGAAGTGTACTACTGAGTTCAGTATTAATTCACTACAGGTTATGATTATGATAAAATTAAAAAAAAAAAATAATATGAAAAAATAATAAATATTTACACTATGCAGTAGGCTTAAATATGCAGTAGATCTATTGTATGCACGTAATAGATAATTCCAGTACACGTAATTTAATTCCAGTAGACAGATAACTTCACTGAAATCTTCCCCTTTTGACAATTATTTCACGGGTTAATGAATCAATAATTAAATGTACCTTTGAACACACATATTTGTGTTTGTGGATGTTGATATTCAGCTGATGATGGGGTCTTCCACAAGCGCGAATCCATCGCAAACTCGTTTCCAAACGGAACTTGGGTTTTGAAAAAGGAATGAAAATTGCATTCCAAAGCCTCTCAGGATATCTCTCATCAGAATCGCAAGTCCCCCATGCACATCGTTTCCCCATTATCACTACAAACGGCAAGCTACTTTGCAGGGTCAAATGTCCTAACAACCGAAAGCTTGGGGGACCTAATGACGCCTTATCAACAAGCTATCCCGCGGTGACGGAAAGACGCGATCTGATTGGTTGACGGGCGATCGGTCGGAACTATGCATAACGTCTGATCATTTAGCTTCTGCTTTGTTTTCAGATATTACCTACGCCTCCAGTACAGCCGTGATGATGTCATCAGTGACGTCATCGATGATGTCATCGGGTAAGTCCCGCGTTACTACTAGTACACAAAGATGATATGACGTTAACCACTTTTACGCCCTTGATGAAGTGATTGTTTTAGTGGAACGGTACATATGTCTGAAAGGTTTTATGGGAATTTTCTGCCATGACATGTGGGTTGAATTGCACACACGCACACACACGCACACACACGCACGTAAGCAGACACGTACGCATGCATACTAACAAATTCACATAAATTGACAGAATGTATCTGTCCTGCTTATCACTTTTGTGTATTTAAGCATTGATGTTTACATAGTTTGTATGCTCTGCTTGCTCTTCTGTAACATATTTTGTAGCTTGTCTTTAACGCATAGATCCAGCAAGGACTATTGAGAAGCAAGTCTGTCTGTAATAATGAAAGTGCGTCGTAAACATTCACTACAGTACGTGAAAATGATTTTAAATATACCTTATGTAATTATAGCTTCCAGACTATAAACGGGACTTTAAGCAATGATTTATATGCATTTGGGGGCAATTTTTGAAGCCACAAGTTAAATACTATCTTCTAACGAATCATTATAACTACAAGGATCGTCTTTTAGTTGATTCGGTAAAAAAATTCTGTTTGGGTCGGGTGCACAAGCGGCGCAAGGATATATGCAGTTTCACTGCCAGCCCGCGACCTGTTACTCCTCGGGGACCTTCGCCAAATCCCGGACGTCGAAAGAATCAACTGATCGTATTTTAGCAATGCTTCTAAATATTTATTAATATAAAATAGAAGATCTGAGTTAATAAAGAACATTTCAAACTGTGTTTCTCAATTTAGAACCTTGACCTTGCACACAAGGGTTTCACGTTGAATAATAACACGGAACATTGCTAGGGGGAGTTTGCTTCTCTCACAATAAACAGCACATGGGGAAGGTCTTACTTTCACGATTCACTTAAAGAGAAGTAATAATCTTGGACTTTGAGCCATGGCAATTTATCTTACATAATGTGCGTGATAGCATTACATTGTCTATCAAAGCCTGTCTGATCACTCCGAAGAGAAATCAGATTTTGTCTGTATCTCAAGCCCCCACGTACAATCTATGTGTATGTATATTGGATTTCGGAGGATGTCAGTACTACAGAGAAAAAGCGCACTTTTTGGACTGTTAGTTCTTACCGAAATAAATCTTAACTCTGAAGAGTTTTTAAGATTGTTTTATTGATAGTTCCTGACAGGGTCTGGCAATATTTTGGCTACTGCACGGACATCGTGCGGCGTCCGAGCGAGGCTGAGCGGAGATCGGTTTACCATATTCATCTTGTTGTCTTGGACCTCTCTCATGAACTGAGACAAACTGCTTGGGATTGCCAATGGTACCCATGGTGAAAATGGGTTGGTCCATCGCAAGGTTGCTGCACGGCCATCTTCCCGTGGCATGACCGCACAATGTCATCCGTGCGATTTCATGGGCACAGCACGGTGATGGTGCGGTAGCAGTACGATGGCCGTGCGGATATCCCACGGACGCTGTACGAGTTTTTTGAAGTGCGGTGCTCGTGCAGTGCCCGTGCGATGCCACCTTCGGGCTTACGATTTTTTCAAATTTGTCAAAATCATAGAGGCTACGGCGACTGTAGAATACTGAGGCTGATTGTACGACAGCGGCCTGCCGTCGCAAGGCGACCGTAAGCAAATGATGGTACGGGCAGTCTGCGGGCGCCGTAGACCCATCCCAAGCCAAATGTGAACCAGGCAATAGCTGATGCACTGACGGTCATCCTTTTTGAGAAAGTAGTTCCGTGTCGCACGTGTTTCCTCTTATGATCGAGGACAACACCCTTTATTGATTCCACGTCATAATGCCGGAAATGCACCAGATAGATATTAATCATTATTTATGACTCTAAACGTCTGTGCAACGTCGGGTACACCAAACGAGGAAACTTTTGTCGTGAATTTGATTTCCATCGATAAACTTCTAACTGGGTACTTTCCTTGTTTCAAAGTTGTGTGGACTCTAAACCTACCCTGTTCCTGGAGTGAGTGAGTGAGTGAGTTTTAGTTTTACGCCGCTTTTAGCAATATTCCAGCAATATCACGGCGGGGGACACCAGAATATGGACTTAACACATTGTGCCCATGTGGGGAATCGAACCCGGGTTTTCGGCGTGACGAGCGAACGCCTTAACCACTAGGCTACCCCACCGCCCCGTTCCTGGACAGGTGGGCAAGCGTGTAACACTCTGTAACATGTGGCGACATATTTAGCATACGTCACGATCGCGTTGTATTAGGGGTACCCGGCAGTATGTCAGGTGATCGATCTTGGTTAAATATGTTCATGTTATTTCAGAAGACAAGGGTATGTCTTATTCATTTTAGAAGTGGTTTGCATGATTGTCCGTATCTTAATGTCTATGAGTAAACACTGGAGTCAAATGTAGATGTATATTTAAGACTGAGTTTGGTTTTACGCCGCTTCTAGCAATATTCCAGCAACATCACGGCGGGGGACACCAGAAATGGGCTTCACACATTTTACCCATGTGGGGATTCGAACCCGGGTCTTCGGCGTGATGAACCAACGCTTTAACCACTAGGCTATCCCATCGCCCCTTATATTTAAGATAACTATATTACCATTTCGTCGCTCATACACAAGGAAGAACTGATATTCGATGAATAATCATTCTAACAAATAACTATCCTTAAAGGTTGCACGTGAGCATGATTGGTTGTACTGGGTGAATGAGAGAGTTCGGCCTAAAGTTGTGAACAGTGGCGATCTGTCAGCTGTTGCTCATGCTGTCAATCACTGTTTTGACAGAAATTCCAGTCTGTTGTCATATAGCTGGATTATCAACACATCTGTGTCGACAGGGGAACTAGCTCAGAATGAAGACGAAGAATACGTCGAGTCCAAACAAAAAACAAATATAATTACTCACATATATAAGTCGAGTAGTGATCCAACGCTGCTATAACAAGACACGTCTAGCAGACTGGTGCATCCTACTGGCAGCTATACATACAGGCTGTAGTGATGTTTTTCCATGTCGTTGTTCTGCAAATGGGCGATGGCGTCTCGTGAACGACGAGGTCAAACGTTGTCATCCATGTGCATGTCACGGGGATAGTTATCAAAATGTCCAGTTTCCAGTACTGTCATCATGTTGATAACGTTGAATATTGAGTGAGTGAGTGAGTTTAGTTTCACGCCATACTCAGCAATATGCCAACTATATGGCGGCGGTCTGTAAATAATCGGGTATGGACCAGACAACCCAGTGATCAACACCATGAGCATCGATCATCGCAATTGGGAACCCATGACATGTGTCAACCAAGTCAGCGAGCCTAACCACCCGATCCCGTTAGTCGCGTCTTACGACAAGCATGGGTTTGAATATTGAGTGTCCTCGATACAGCACTGAGGTCCGTGTGAAACGTACCTCCTTGCATGTTCGGGTCACCACCGAAGGCTTCTGCTGAACGGATAATCTCCTGCTGATATGCCTCGTTACGACGTCTCCATACGCGAACCAGTGTGCCCGGTGCCTTCATAGATCCTTGGCATGGGAAACATAGCATTTAGGATAATGTTTCAAGTATGTGCTGTACATGTACATTGCAGTGCACTAGGGTATCATATCCTGTACCTTTATTCAGATGATGCTTGATCATCTCACGTGTAGATTTGCAGAAGACAAATTGTCAGTTGATTCTGACGTAGGAGACTTCTTCTTCCACAAACAAAATGTGTTTATTTATGTGAAAATGTTTGTGCAATGAAACTGTGAAGAATTGTTTTAATTCAACAGAAGGATCTGTTTCACCATCGGCAACAGAGAAAACGCTACCCGCTAGTCAGGCAATGGTGACATTCTCAGATTTTGCGCTACCTGAACCATCTGCGACAACATATGCAGCCAAATCAGCTGACTACACCCACATGGCATCAGTTGAGCTGACATCAGCATCCGTGGTGCCATTAACAGCATTAGCATCATCGGCGTCATCAATATTGGGAACGTCATCGGCCGCAGACAGACCGCCAGAGCAAACTGTCAAAGATTCACCAACTTTGTCACCAGATGTTATGACAAATTCTCGAGCTTCAACACCAACAATACTGACATCTACAGCAGCACTGACATCTTCAGCAGACCTACCCCCATCTGCACTGTCAACAAATGTTGTAACAGCTATGCTGCGGATATCTGCAACAATCCCTCAATCGACATCTGCATTGTCAACAGTAGTTCCAGCAAACGTCTCAATGGAGGATGAAACCACTGTGCTGATTTCATTTCTTTCATTGACATCTACACTGTCAACAACTGTTCCAACAGCTGCATCATCAACAGAGGATGTTACAACGACACCGAGGTCAGATGTTACAACGGCGACGAGTACAACAACAACAACATTCATCCCACCAGTAGCTATATCATCAAAACCTGTTTCTACAGCAACATTAAATCCTGCATCATTGACAGCAATAGCGCCATCATCAACTCCGGACTCGGAAGCATCCACGATAGCATCACGAGCAGCACCAACAACGTTCACTTTCTCAGCAGTATTAACGCCGGAATCAAAAACATACCTGTCTGATTCTGTACTGATACCAACATGGATAATGAAACCATCTCAAGCAGCAGCATCATCATCAATCGCATCAGCATCACCAACAACAACATCAAAACCCATAACACCCGGATCATCAAGTACCTTCACGATATCTACTTTAATGACATCACAACCCGTAACACAAGACCTACCAGGTAAGTAGATAGCTCTGTAATCAGCTAATCAAGGACATCAAGATAGGTAGGTAGCTATATCATCAGCTACACACGAGCATCAAGGTAGAAGGCTCAGGCGAGTGGATCCTTCAGTAGTAAGTAACACAGGAGGTCCCAGGTAGATAGATGCTTCAGTAATCAGTAACCCAAGAAGGTGCATATGGGGCTAAGAGTTCCAATCCTCTATTCCTAGGCATAGAATGATAGAAAGAACCGGGGGTTACAGGCGGAAATCTAGGAGGTAGGTAGATGCTTCCGTAATCAGTAACACAAGAAGGCTCATTTGGGTAGACACTTACGTAATCAGTAACACAAGAAAACTCAGGTGTGTGGATGCTTCAGTTCACATCACAGCAGATGGTGGGAACGCACAGATCACCAGCAGTCGGTGCCTGTAATAGAAGGCGGTGTTTGGTAAGTACGGTGTATAAGCCTCAGCGGGAGGAAGGTATGGACGTGATACCCGGTCGCGTTATCCCAGACATAAAAAGGTGGTCATGTTTTGACCCGGCACTAAGGGGTTACAACAAGGAATGGTTTCCTCGGGGGTAGAATGTGTATGAGTGGAGTATCACTGTTTTACGACATGGCATCACTGTTTGCTAGTACAACAAACAAGGCATTAGTCTAGGTTGGAACCAGCAACCACACACATGCTCCTGCACGTCGCTATGTCAAGTGCAATGATCGTTAAAGCAGGGTTCAATGCCATTTCATATCACAAAGTATGATCTGCATGATTGCGAAACACCTTACAGCTTGGATCTTGTACAGTGGTTTGTCCTGCACAGGCTAATTGAATATATGCATGAAATGTTTTCTCACTGTGGTGTAACTAATTATTCACTGACGGTTATGTTGCCACCTACATTTATTGACACCTCACCTTTATTGTCTATGTAGTAAAATGTTCTTAAATATTTACTGAAAGATTCTACGGAAGGATTAATTGATGATACACATTTGCCAGCGACGGCAGGAGCGTCTACATCAGCAACTTCATTATCGTCATCACTGTTGCCATCAGAAACATCATCATCATTAGAGTCCACAGCTGAATCGACGTCACTAGCACCGTCTGCAACATCATCATCACTGGCGTCTACAGAAAACTCGACGTTAATGGTACCTTCAGGAACATCATCATTGACGTCTAAAGGATCATCGCCAACACTGGAGCCATCAGTAACATCATCATCACTGTCGTCTACAGGATCATCGCCAACACTGGAGCCATCAGTAACATCATCATTGACGTCTACAGGATCATCGCCAACACTAGAGCCATCAGTAACATCATCATCACTGTCGTCTACAGCAGAATCAACGTCATCTTTGACGACAACAGACAGCTTGTCAATATTTAATTCAATGTTACCGACAATATCAGCTGCACACACGACTTCAGCTCTTACTCAAACCGCATCTACATTGTCATCACTGGTCCCAACATCAGCATCTGCAGCAGCATCAACATTTCTACCATCAGCATCTTTTCCGCCATCAACCGGAACAATGTTACCATCAGAGTCAACATCTGTGACAACAGACACAACACCACCGCCTGCTCCCACCACGACTCCGCCATTATCAGCACAGACATCTCCAACACCTGCAACATCAGCGTCACCTTTAGAACAGACAGGTGAGTCGAGATAATTAAACAAGATCCCGATATATATGTTCCTATTGGGGTAGAAATAACTACATTCATCTGACTTTATGAAATTGATCGTTCACTTCTTACAATCAAGTCTTCAAGTGAAGTATCAATACAGATGAGACCGACAAAGCCATTTCCATGAATCCGACTACATGTTCTATCAGTAAGAAAGTTAATAGGTCTTGTCTTGTTGACGACCTTAATAAGTATTACTTCATCCTTTGACTGAAAACGTTGACATGTTCACTGACTTGTACACTTATGAATATAAACAGGGTACACTTCAGAATACCGGATAACTACCAGCCATATTGTTTAGTGTCACTTCGCCCTAACCCTAACCCTAAACCTTACCCAAACGCTAACCCTTACCTTAACCCTAAACCACACCCTAACCCAGTAAACTCTCGTGCTTTCAAAGATGGCGGAAGGTATCCGGTATTCTGTAGTCTTACCATAAACAGTATATGACGTGCCAATTATACAAAGCGAATTCCTGGAATTTGTATTTTTAAGGGTGAAAATGTGTGGTGTGTCAGTACCAAACCAATGTTCATCAAAGCGGTAAACATCCACCCGAGCTGTCTTCGGGCTGTCCTGCCACAGCAAGCTAAATTGTTATTTTTAACGAAATCCTGTAGTTCTTCAAAGTACCTGTCTAAGGTAAGTAACAACATCTTGAATCTTCATTGCTGACGCTGTACGTTTCAGGCTCGGGAGATACTTACGTCATCGTCGGTGTGTCGATCGGAGTCCTCATTCTACTTGCTGTCGTGGTGTCTCTTCTTGTCGTCGTCAAACTCAGGTAGCGTGATGGTTTCTGGTCATGTGTACTAGAGGTCGGTGAGAGAGAACTGCACCACTATCCGAATGATACTCAATGTGTAAAACATGGATAAGACATTCGTCACGCCATTTCCTGGTGGTACTGACGCCAGTAACGTGGGGCTATGGTTAAGGTTCTCTAATTCAAGCAATATCTGAAGCAACGGGTTTGTTTCTAAAGCATGCCTTACACTGTGTGTAGGATTACACATAGGTATAACACACTTTCGTTATTAAGTAAAGGTGCGTTCACACGTTGCAATTAGTTGTATAAAACTTGTGGCATGCAACAAATTTCACAGTGTGAACAGGGGAGTTGGACAGATTTTGCAAGCGGGTTGCAAGTGATAGAACTTGCTCTATTGTAGGTAAGTTGTACGTAAGTTGTACGGTTCTGGCCAATCAGATCGCGTTTCGTCGTCTCGTGATATTTACGCAGACATCAAACATGGCGACACCACAACAACGGACGACACAACAACGCCGGAAAAATGTTCAAGAAAAAATTGAACTCGGCAACCATGACATTGAAAGGTTTATGTCATACTATCATTCCCACGAGTGTCTTTGGAATGTATCTAGTTCGTTTCATTCAAAACGTGAACACCGACAGGCCGCCTACGTTTCCATTTCCAAACTGATGATTGGTGTTATAATAGGTTAGTGACACAAACTGTCACCTAAATAAAAAAACACAGATGATTCATTCTGAATAATCAAAAAGTTATTGAGCGTATGTGATACACCTTCGGGAGCCTCATTCAACTCTTTACAGGGTTAGGGACAGCGGCTTTGCACGCAAACATTTGGTGCTAACGCAGTCAGGAGTGGTTGGTTTATTTATAGATTGCCATGCTTATTGATAAACACAAAACAGCTGATCGACAAACAGTAGGTGATCTGTGTGATACATTAACTATAATTCATGAAATTATGACTGTTCATAGCCCTACCTGTGACCAAATATCGAAGTGTGATGGCGAGTTTTTCTCCAGGGGGTATAGAATCACGCATGGTTGTATCAACTTTGGTTATCATCGGTGACACTCTGCCCAGCAGTTGATCAAAACTCTCTCTGTCGATGCTTAAAAAATTGACAAAACTTTTTGTGTCCTCAGCTTCAAGTTCCCTCATTAAAGCTTTATAAGCTCCTAGATCACTTTGTCTTGCAATCCAGCACGAACGGTCGGCTTTGCCATGGTTAAAATCAACGAACATTGCGACAACCGCCGCTTCCAGTACATCGGCATCACTAACGCTGTTGTATGGGGACGCCATGACCGTATGCTACAGTGCGTTGCTAAGCAACATTTTAAACGAGATGTCACGATACCGAAAATTGTATACAACTTGGCCTGTCTGTGAACGCATGTTGCATGCAACTCAAGACGTGCAACTTGTTGTATGCAACATGTTGTAACAAACGAGTTGCAACGTGTGAACGGATCTTAAGAGAGAAATGTTGCAAGTAGAGCAGCGAGCAATATTACCACTTTTTCACCGCGACCCGGTTAACAAATGGATCTGGACTTGGCAGATCACTGACTAAAGGCATGACAGGCAATCCACACTATCTCATGAAATCCGTCAGAGCAGAGCCTAATCTCATCCATTTCCATCCTTTCTCATCCGGGTTTGATAAAATGGCATAATCAAATCAGTGGTCGTAAAAATGACATAAAATTCTATTCCTCCTATTACGTTTTTAAGACGTCATTAACAGTTTAAGCTTTTAAGTTAGAAACCTATAACAGGAAGTATATCCATCCTTTTTAACTCAGTCTCGTGTCTTTTCCTCATCTTTGATACTTCCGTCGGACGGAAACGTACACAAAGACCCTAATCTATATGGCGGCGATCTATAAATAATCGAGTTTGGACTAGACAGTCCAGTGATTAACATCATGAGCATCGATCCACGCAATTGGAATATGATGACATGTGTCAACCAAGCCAGCGAGCCTGACCTCCCGATACCTTAAGTCGGCTCTTACGACAAGCATGGGTTGCTGAAGATAAATTATAATCCGGATCTTCACGAGTGTCTGGCATCAACACGAACCAAACGTCGAGGATCCTCTGTTAAGCATCAGATTTGTTCTTGTTGTATGGTAACTCAAGGGTAAGGGTATGGTACAGCACGTTAGAGATCTACTATACTGTTGCTATGGTAACTCAAGGGTAAGGATATGGTACAGCACGTTAGATATCTACTATACTGTACAATGGCTAAAGGGACCATCAATCAGTGGATTTAGATAATTTGCAAGATAAATACGTGAACACCCTCTATTTGTTTCTCTCGCAGGGTGATCAACGTGAGGCCTTTATACGACCGGATGGGTGAGTGTGTTACTCTAAAGCTATGTTAGTAAAGCAAATGCTGGCTAGATAAGGCCGGATGTTTGAGTGTGTGACTGTAAAAGTATGTATGTAAAGCACATGCTGGCTAGATAAGGCCGGATGTTTGAGTGTGTGACTGTAAAAGTATGTATATTAAGCACATGCTGGCTAGATAAGGCCGGATGTTTGAGTGTGTTACTGTAAAAGTATGTGTTTGAGTGTAATGTAGTAAAGCACATGCTGGCTAGATAAGGCCGGATGTTTGAGTGTGTGACTGTAAAAGTATGTATGTAAAGCACATGCTGGCCTAGATAAGTGTTTGAGTGTGTGACTGTAAAAGTATGTATGTAAAGCACATGCTGGCTAGATAAGGCCGGATGTTTGAGTGTGTGACTGTAAAAGTATGTATGTAAAGCAAATGCTGGCTAGATAAGGCTGGATGTTTGAGTGTGTGACTGTAAAAGTATGTATGTAAAGCACATGCTGGCTAGATAAGGCCGGATGTTTGAGTGTGTGATTGTAAAAGTATGTATGTAAAGCAAATGCTGGCTAGATAAGGCTGGATGTTTGAGTGTGTGACTGTAAAAGTATGTATGTAAAGCACATGCTGGTTATATTTGCCGGATGTTTGAGTGTGTGACTGTAAAAGCATGTATGTATGTAAATAAGCATGTTTGAGTGTGTGACATATGCACATGCTGGCTAGATAAGGCCGGATGTTTGAGTGTGTGACTGTAAAAGTATGTATGTAAAGCACATGCTGGCTAGATAAGGCCGGATGTTTGAGTGTGTGACTGTAAAAGTATGTATGTAAAGCACATGCTGGCTAGATAAGGCCGGATGTTTGAGTGTGTGACTGTAAAAGTATGTATGTAAAGCACATGCTGGCTAGATAAGGCCGGATGTTTGAGTGTGTGACTGTAAAAGTATGTATGTAAAGCACATGCTGGCTAGATAAGGCCGGATGTTTGAGTGTGTGACTGTAAAAGTATGTATGTAAAGCACATGCTGGTTATATTTGCCGGATGTTTGAGTGTGTGACTGTAAAAGTATGCATGTAAAGCAAATGCTGGCTAGATAAGGCCGGATGTTTGAGTGTGTGACTGTAAAAGTATGTATGTAAAGCACATGCTGGTTATATTTGCCGGATGTTTGAGTGTGTGACTGTAAAAGTATGCATGTAAAGCACATGCTGGCTAGATAAGGCCGAATGTTTGAGTGTGTGACTGTATAAAGCACATGCTGGTTATATTTGCCGGATGTTTGAGGAGCACATGCTGGCTATATAAGGCCGGATGTTTGAGTGTGTGACTGTAAAAGTATGCATGTAAAGGACATGCTGGCTAGATAAGGCCGAATGTTTGAGTGTGTGGCTGTAAAAGTATGTATGTAAAGCACATGCTGGTTATATTTGCCGGATGCTAATTTATTAATCAAACAAATACAGTATATACATATTTTCAGAGAAATTAAACTACATACATGGCTTGTACACATGTAGATCAATGCTACAGTCTTCAGCTGTCCTGTGTTGCATTTACAGAAAGTCTGACGTTGTCTAGGAACCTCTGTTTGTAGGCATCAAGAGGAGACGCAGGTCGTCGAACACAACTATCGAGATGACCTTGGTGGAAGTTGCGGCCGAACACAGTGATATCGAGATAAGTGGACTGGGAAAGTACATCGCGAGCAAGATGAAGAACAGAGCATTGGATGAAGAATACAAGGCAATTCCAAACATTATTAACTCGTATTACCTGCAAGTGTGAGTGTGTGGAGGGGTTTAGGCTACATTTTGCAATATTCCAGCGAAATCACACACAGAACAAATCCTATCTTGTAATGTTGACATTGTGGGAAGTGTGTATCATGTCGTGTGATGTTGACATTGTGGGAAGTGTGTATCATGTCGTGTGATGTTGACATTGTGGGAAGTGTGTATCATGTCGTGTGATGTTGACATTGTGGGAAGTGTGTTGCATGTCGTGTGATGTTGACATTGTGGGAAGTGTGGTGCATGTCGTGTGATGTTGACATTGTGGGAAGTGTGTATCATGTCGTGTGATGTTGACATTGTGGGAAGTGTGTATCATGTCGTGTGATGTTGACATTGTGGGAAGTGTGTATCATGTCGTGTGATGTTGACATTGTGGGAAGTGTGTATCATGTCGTGTGATGTTGACATTGTGTGGGAAGTGTGATGTTGACATTGTGGGAAGTGTGTATCATGTCGTTAATGATGTTGACATGTCATTGTGGGAAGTGTGTATGTCGTGTGATGTTGACATTGTGGAAGTGTGATGTTGACATTGTGGGAAGTGTGTATCATGTCGTGTGATGTTGACATTGTGGGAAGTGTGTGTGCATGTCGTGTGATGTTGACATTGTGGGAAGTGTGTATCATGTCGTGTGATGTTGACATTGTGGGAAGTGTGTATCATGTCGTGTGATGTTGACATTGTGGGAAGTGTGGTGCATGTCGTGTGATGTTGACATTGTGGGAAGTGTGTATCATGTCGTGTGATGTTGACATTGTGGGAAGTGTGTATCATGTCGTGTGATGTTGACATTGTGGGAAGTACCACAGGACACAGGACAAGGACAACGGACACAGGACCACAACCGGACACACACACACACAAGGACACACACCGGACCAGACTGACACAAACGTGGACCACACAGACACAGACAAACGGACACAACGGACACACAACCCCGGACATCAGGAACACACCGACACATCATGGAGGAAGCACAAACGATGACAAGGACCGCAGGACCACAGACACCAGGACCAGGACATCAGGACCCGCAGACACAGGATGGACCGGACCATGGACACACACAGAATCACACAGTGGCACAAGGACAAGACAGGAGGCATGGACAAGGAACAGGAAAGGACACAGGGACATGGAATGGATAAAGGACAAGGACACAGGAAGGAATGGATAAAGGAACAGGATAAATGGACAACAGGATAAAGGAACAGGGACAGGAACATGGATAGTGGAAGAAGAAATGGATAAAGGAACAGTGGATAAAGGAACAGGATAAGGACAAATGGATAAAGGGAGTGGACAGGAACAGTGGATAAATGGACATGGAAAATGGACGTGGATAAAGGAGAAATGTGGATAGTGGAAGAATAAACAGGATAAATGGAAGAAGGTGGATAAAGGAAGAAATGAGATGTGGAAACAGGATAAAGGAATGGATAAATGGACAGTGGATGGATGGAAGGAATAAATGGATGGACAGTGGAAGGTCGTGGATAAATGGACAAATGGATAAATGGACAAAGGGACAAATGGATGGACATTGTGGACAAATGGATAAAGGATAAATGGATAAATGGACAATGGAAGGAAGAAGAAATGGATGGACAAATGGATGGACATGGAATGGATGGATGGTGGTGGTCAACAGGATGGATGGACAAATGGTGGATGGAAGTGGATGGATTGTGGATGGACAGCGGACAAAATGGTGGATGGAATAAATGGATCATCGATCGAACACGACACTGAACCGGACCGCCGGACACGCCGGACCAGGACCGGACCAGAAGGATGGACCAAGACACATGGACGACCGGACCACGACAAACGGACCAGGACACAAGGACAAGGACCCGAACCGGACCGAAAACGGAACAAACGTGGACACGCCGACACAAACGACATTGTGGAGAAAACGATCGAACGCCGACACACATCAGGACCACAACGCCGGATACACCACAGCACAACCGGACACCGGACCGACACAACGGAAGGACACACAGGACGCCGGACCATGTCGATCACCGGACCATAAACGCCGATCCCGGACCGACACACCGGACAACGGACACCGGAGGACAGGAAGTGGACCAACGGAAGGACAAAATGGAAGGACAAGGAAGGAAGGATGTTGACACAGGGACAAGGACAGGGACACAGGGACACAGGATAAAGGAAGGATAAAGGAAGGATGGACACAGTGGACATGGATAAAGGAAGGATGAAAGAAGGACAGGATAAAGGACAGGGATGGATGGACAAATGGATAAATGGATATTGAAGAGGTTCCCAGGACATGGACAGACCATGGAAATGGAAACAGATGGACATTGTGGACCATGTGGACAAAGGAATAAATGGATAAATGGAAGTGGAATGTGGTGGACAGGGAAGGATGGACAGGGAAGTGGCAAATGGATAAAGGACAGGGACAAATGTGGTGGATGTTGGATTAGGGACAAACAGGACATGGACAGTGGAAAATGGATAAAGGACATTGTAGTGGACAGTGGAAAGGACATTGAACAAATGGATTGTGGAAGGACATTGAAATGGAAGTGGACAGCCTGGATGCCGGAAGGACAAACAGGGAATAAATGTAGGATAAATGGATGGAAGGAAGAAATGGATGTTGACAGGGAATGGATAAAGAAATAAACAGGATAAAGATTAGGGAATGAATGGATAAAGGAAGGACATGGTGGACATGGATGGACAGGGACCAGTGGATAAAGACAGGGAATGGTGGATGGACAAATGGTGGATGTGAAATGGACAAAGGACAAACAGGATGGACAGGGAACAAATGGATGCCGGACAGGATAAATGGATGCTGACAGGGGAAGGACGAAATGGTGGATAAAGGAACAGGATGGAATGGTGGATGTGGGGAACAGGATAAAGGGTGAAATGGATGGCAGGGAGGCGGTGTATCACGGTCAGGTGGCGATGCTGTACTAGGGCGGGTGCATGTCGTATGATGCTGATACACTGTGGGAAGTGCGTTGCATGTCGTGCGGATGTTGACATTGAGGGAAGTGGTGCATGTCGTATGATGTTTCATCAGGGAAGTGTATCATGTCGTGATGTTGACATTGTAGAAGTGTATCATGTCGTGTGATGTTGACATTGTGGGAAGTGTGTATCATGTCGTGCGGATGTTGACATTGTGGGAAGTGTATCATGTCGTGATGTTGACATTGTGGGAAGCGCGGAAGTGTGTATCATGTCGTGTGATGATGTTGACATTGTGGGAAGTGTGTATCATGTCGTGTGATGTTGACATTGTGGGAAGTGTGTTGCATGTCGTGTGATGTTGACATTGTGGGAAGTGTGTATCATGTCGTGTGATGTTGACATTGTGGGAAGTGTGTGTATCATGTCGTGTGATGTTGACATTGTGGGAAGTGTGGTGCATGTCGTGTGATGTTGACATTGTGGGAAGTGTGTATCATGTCGTGTGATGTTGACATTGTGGGAAGTGTGGTACATGTCGTGTGATGTTGACATTGTGGGAAGTGTGTTGCATGTCGTGTGATGTTGACATTGTGGGAAGTGTGTATCATGTCGCATGTCGTGTGATGTTGACATTGTGGGAAGACATTGTGGGAAGTGTGGGTGCATGTCGTGTGATGTTGACATTGTGGGAAGTTGTGGGATGTGTGTGTTGATGTTGACATGTGTATCATGTGGGTGTGATGTTGACATTGGGTAAGTGTGTATCATGTCGTGTGATGTTGACATTGTGGGAAGTGTGTTGCATGTCATGTGATATGATGTTGACATTGTGGGAAGTGTGTATCATGTCGTGTGATGTTGACATTGTGGGAAGTGTGATATCATGTCATGTCGTGTGATGTTGACATTGTGGGAAGTGTGTATGTCGTGTGATATTTGACATTGCATGTCGTATGTGTGGGAAGTGTGTATCATGTGGGTGATGTTGACATTGTGGGAAGTGTGTATCATGTCGTGTGATGTTGACATTGTGGGAAGTGTGTTACATGTCGTGTGATGATGTTGACATTGTGGGAAGTGTATTATCATGTGTGTTGCATGTCATGTGTGATGTTGACATTGTGGGAAGTGTGTATCATGTCATGTAATTTGATGTTGACATTGTGGGAAGTGTGTATCATGTGCATGTCATGTGTGATGTTGACATTGTGGGAAGTGTGTATCATGTCATGTCGTGTGATGTTGACATTGTGGGAAGTGTGTGTATCATGTGGGTGTTGATGACATTGTGAAGTTGTACATTGTGGGAACATTGTGGGAAGTGTGTATCATGTCGTGTGATGTTGACATTGTGGGAAGTGTGTATCATGTCGTGTGATGTTGACATTGTGGGAAGTGTGTATCATGTCGTGTGATGTTGACATTGTGGGAAGTGTGTATCATGTCGTGTGATGAACGTCTGACATTGTTTGCAGACTTTACCCTCAGGCCCCGTTGACCACATTTATAAACATGCCGGGCAGCTTCCCTGTAATAAGATGAAGAACAGATTCGCCGACATATTTGCATGTGAGTAATGTGCGCCAGTTGTTTACAACCATATATGTGTATATATCCATAATACCCCAGTCCTCTTTACAGCTGTATATACATGTATCCATAATAACCCAGTCCTCTTTACAGTTGTATATATCCATAATACCCCAGTCCTCTTTACATTTGTATATAAATGTATCCATAATAACCCAGTCCTCTTTACAGTTGTATATATCCATAATACCACAGTCCTCTTTACATCTATATATATCCATAATACCACCGTCCTCTTTACATTTGTATATACATGTATCCATCATACCCCAGTCCTCTTAACAGTTGTATATATCCATAATACCCCAATCCTCTTTACAGCTATATATATCCATAATACCCCAATCCTCTTTACAGCTATATATATCCATAATACCCCAATCCTCTTTACAGCTATATATATCCATAATACCCCAGTCCTCTTTACAGCTATATATAGCCATAATACCCCAGTCCTCTTTACAGCTGTATATTTCCATAATACCCCAGTCCTCTTTACAGTTGTATATATCCATAATAGCCCCGTCCTCTTTACAGCTGTATATACATGTATCCATAATACCCCAGTCCTCTTTACAGCTATATATAGCCATAATACCCCAGTCCTCTTTACAGCTGTATATATCCATAATCCCCTCTTCCTCTTTACAGCTGTATAAATCCATAATACCCCAGTCCTCTTTACAGCTGTATATATCCATAATACCCCAGTCCTCTTTACAGTTGCATATATCCATAATACCCCAGTCCTCTTTACAGTTGCATATATCCATAATACCCTAGTCCTCTTTACAGCTATATATATCCTTAATACCCCAGTCCTCTTTACAGTTGCATATATCCATAATACCCCAGTCCTCTTTACAGTTGCATATATCCTTAATACCCCAGTCCTCTTTACAGTTGTATATAGTCATAATACCACATTCCTCTTTACAGTTACATATACATGTATCCATAATACCCAATTCCTCTTTACAGATATATATATCCATAATTCCCCAGTCCTCTTTACACCTATATACCGCCATAATACCACTGTCCTCTTTACAGCTATATATTGCCATAATACCACTGTCCTCTTTACAGCTATATATAGCCATAATACCCCAGTCCTCTTTACAGATATATATAGCCATTAAAGCCCAGTCCTCTTTACAGGTATATACAGCCATAATTCCACCGTCCTCTTTACGGCTATATATAGCCATAATACCACTGTCCTCTTTACAGCTATATATAGCCATAATACCACTGTCCTCTTTACAGCTATATATAGCCATAATACCACTGTCCTCTTTACAGCTATATATAGCCATAATACCAGCTATATACAGTCCACTGTCTTTTACAGCTATATATAGCCATAATACCACTGTCCCTCCTCTTTACAGCTATATATAGCCATAATACCACCGTCCTCTTTTACAGCTATATATAGCCATAATACCACTGTCCTCTTTACAGCTATATATATATACAGCCATAATACCACAGTCCTCTTTACAGCTATATATAGCCATAATTCCCCACTGTCCTCTTTACAGCTATATATAGCCATAATACCCCAGTCCTCTTTACAGCTATATATAGCCATAATACCCCAGTCCTCTTTACAGCTATATATAGCCATAATACCACAGTCCTCTTTACAGCTATATATAGCCATAATACCACAGTCCTCTTTACAGCTATATACAGCCATAATTCCACCGTCCTCTTTACAGCTATATATAGCCATAATACCACAGTCCTCTTTTACAGCTATATACAGCCATAATTCCACTCCTCTTTCCTCTTTTAATGCAGCTATATATAGCCATAATACCCCAGTCCTCTTTTACAGCTATATATAGCCATAATTCCACAGTCCTCTTTACAGCTATATATAGCCATAATACCACCATAGTCCCCAGTCTTCTTTACAGCTATATATATAACCATAATACCCATAATTAGTCCTCTTTACAGCTATATATAGCCATAATACCCCAGTCCTCTTTACAGCTATATATAGCCATATACCATAATTTACCATATATCCATAATGCCACTTTTTACAGCTATATATACAGCCATAATTCCACCGTCCCTCTTTTACAGCTATATATATCCATAATACCACAGTCCTCTTTACAGCTATATACAGCCATAATTCCACCGTCCTCTTTACAGCTATATATAGCCATAATACCCCAGTCCTCTTTACAGATATATATAGCCATAATACCACAGTCCTCTTTACAGCTATATATAGCCATAATACCACAGTCCTCTTTACAGCTATATACAGCCATAATTCCACCGTCCTCTTTACAGCTATATATAGCCATAATACCACAGTCCTCTTTACAGCTATATACAGCCATAATACCACAGTCCTCTTTACAGCTATATATAGCCATAATACCACAGTCCTCTTTACAGCTATATATAGCCATAATACCACCAGTCCTCTTTACAGCTATATATAGCCATAATACCACAGTCCTCTTTACAGCTATATATATAGCCATAATACCACCAGTCCTCTTTACAGCTATATATAGCCATAATACCACAGTCCTCTTTACAGCTATATATATAACCATAATACCACAGTCCTCTTTACAGCTATATATAGCTATAATGCCATATATACAGTCCTCTTTACAGCTATATATAGCCATAATATAATTCCCATAATGCACAGTCCTCTTTACAGCTATATATAGCCATAATACCCCAGTCCTCTTTACAGCTATATATAGCTATATATAACCATAATACCCCAGTCCTCTTTACGCTATATATACCAGATAATACAGCTATATATAGCCATAATACCACAGTCCTCTTTACAGCTATATACAGCCATAATTCCACCGTCCTCTTTACAGCTATATATAGCCATAATACCACAGTCCTCTTTACAGCTATATACAGCCATAATTCCACCATAATACCACAGTCCTATATTAATTCAGCCTCTTTACAGCTATATATAGCCATAATACCCCAGTCCTCTTTACAGATATATATAACCATAATACCCCAGTCCTCTTTACAGCTATATATAGCCATAATACCCCAGTCCTCTTTACAGCTATATACAGCCATAATTCCACCGTCCTCTTTACAGCTATATATATCCATAATACCACAGTCCTCTTTACAACTATATATATCCATAATACCACAGTCCGCTTTACAGTTGTGTGTAGCTATAACACCATGGGCTTCTTTACAGCTATATACAGCCATAATTCCACCGTCCTCTTTACAGCTATATATAGCCATAATACCACAGTCCTCTTTACAGCTATATACAGCCATAATTCCACCGTCCTCTTTACAGCTATATATATCCATAATACCACAGTCCTCTTTACAGATATATATAACCATAATACCCCAGTCCTCTTTACAGCTATATATAGCCATAATACCCCAGTCCTCTTTACAGCTATATACAGCCATAATTCCACCGTCCTCTTTACAGCTATATATATCCATAATACCACAGTCCTCTTTACAACTATATATATCCATAATACCACAGTCCGCTTTACAGTTGTGTGTAGCTATAATACCATGGGCTTCTTTACAGCTATATACAGCCATAATTCCACCGTCCTCTTTACAGCTATATATATCCATTATACCACAGTCCTCTTTACAACTATATATATCCATAATACCACAGTCCGCTTTACAGTTGTGTGTAGCTATAATACCATGGGCTTCTTTACAGCTGTTCTGTTAACATATATAAATACTCCTATATCTATCCTGATCTCAATATTTTCACCAGTGGCCTCGTTTGAAGCAACTCACATTCTTTGTTCTTATTTCAGACGACTGTTCCCGAGTTGTGTTACAGCGAGGCGATTCATCCGACTCTGACTACATCAATGCTAATTTTATAACTGTAGGTATATCAGTGTTTCATAACTGTGGGTTTCACTCACTAGGCAACTGCATGCATGACACTGCCAACACTAAACTATAAGCAGGTATAACACTTCAATCCCTTAAAACAAGTTTGTCTAAGTATGATTTCTTTTGAACAGAAAAGTCCATACCGGGAATGAGAAACTTTGTAGATGTACAACAATTTTAGAAAAGAGACACTATTATTATGAAGAAAATGGATGTAGAGAAATAGAATGTAAATTACAGCCTGATAACTGACCTTCTGTTTTATCTGACTATTTTACAAATGTGTGTATATAAAGCATACCACTAAAAATTTAAGAGCACCCGACCTTTTTTACCGTAGTTGATATGTCATATTTGGTTGGCATTGAAACACATTGTCCCCCAAATGCTGGTGTTTTGTAATTGGTTAACAAGTATATTCTGAGACAACATCAACCGGCTCGTGACTGATAATGTCCGGTGACGTAACATCCTTCTTAAGGCTCATATCGATGGTTATTGCCTTAGTTTCATGTTGTGTTATTACAAGTTTCATGACATCTTCATGCTGGTGACCTGTTTTCATGCAGGGCTACAATCACAAGCAGAGAGCTTACATAGCCGCACAAGGTACGAATGCCCCAGCACCAGGTGTCATTAAACTCTTTTATTAAAACTTCAGTTTCCTTTCATAAACCTTTCGGTGAGAAGGTAAATTATAGCGACTCAAGACAAATGTGATAAAAATATATTTTGGTTTGTTTATTTAAAACCCCAACAATATTTTCAGAAGATAAAACCCCCGTAATTACTAGTATATCATGTTGAATATTATTTTACAGTTGTATCCTGGTCTTTCGACCATTTAGACCCCAAACACGTTTATCTGTTAGGCTGAACACCTTTGGAACTTAACGTTATAAATTAGAAGACGATTAAGGATCTGAATGTATGTTTAATGTGTCGTTGATCTGGCAATGTCCAGGACCCAATGTCCAGTCTCTGGACGACTTCTGGTTGATGATCTGGCAGCAGGACGTCCGGTGTATTGTCATGCTGACCAACCTTCGAGAAAACAACAAGGTCAGTTGAAGCCAACATATGTACCTAACAGTCGAACATTGTGTTCTTCTAATGTTAGATTTGTAAATTTATATTATCGTCTTCGTTTTGAAAAGAGTCCCTCCCTTAACAATACTCGTTTATCTGGATCTGAATTCCATGGAAGCTCACATGCACAACCCATCATCAAGTTCTGAACTGACTCTCCAAAATAGAGTATATAAAAGATGCTTACACTCGTTCTCGTTAAATACCAATCTTACGACGCGAGTTCCGATCGTATGTGACCGAGCTTCCACGCCGGTGAGGAAGAGGTTAATGCTATTTACGGAGTCTATCTCGTCAAACTCATTCGCTTCGTACAGTCGGTGGGGCGGTGGGGTAGCCTAGTGTTTAAAGCGCTCGCTTGTTACGCCGAAGGCCTGGGTTCGATTCCCCACATAGATACAATGTGTGACGCCCATTTCTGGCGTCCCCTGCAGTGGTATTGCTAGAATGTTGATAAAAGCCCAACTTACTCACTCGTCTAGTTGGTATGTAAAGAAAATGAGTGTGATATTTTAAGTATTAGCGATTTGAATAACAAACTTCTATTTCGGAGGTTTCGTATTGACGAAACCGGTTTAAGAAAGAGGTTGCGGATTAGCATGAAGTTAAATTAGAAACGTTCATCACAGTCCATATATATTAACCATTGTTAAATTAGTAACGTTCATCACAGTCCATATATATTAACCAAAGTTAAATTAGTAACGTTCATTACAGTCCATATATGTTAACCAAAGTTAAATTAGTAACGTTCATCACAGTCCATATATTAACAAAAGTTAAATTAGTAACGTTCATCACAGTCCATATATGTTAACCAAAGTTAAATTAGTAACGTTCATCACCTGACCTAATGCTGTGATCATGATTTCCCAGTCAAACCGCTCGTATCGGGGGTCAACCCGGTACGACATAGGTCAACCTTGTCAGTCGTGTCGTTGTGTATATTCAGATCTGTTCTTTCTATTTGATGTTGAAATATAAACTTCAAATTTTGAAAAGCAGGAAATGGTTTTTCGGTGTTGATCTATTTGATACCGATATCGTGGTCGTGGTTTGCACCGTGCGTTTGCAGTGCTTCAGTGACAGCCCAGTAACGTTTGATAACTTTTGTCTGTAAAAGTCCACTTTACAAGCTTATACTTTCTTTGGTCATCGTGTCTGGAAAGTATGCCTTATACCGTTTTGCAATTGGCTCGCTTCATTCCCATCGGTATTATCCGCCAACTTTGGAGAAACCAGTATTGGAACCAGATGTGCTGGTATCACTAGTTCACGTGGCCATCACATTACATACTTCAGTCTAGCGGCGCACTTAACTCTCACATAAATGTTCGAAATTAAATTGAATATATCTATTATTATTTTTATTCATGTATTGAAGTCTGTTCTAAAAGTCTGTTCCAAGCCGATGACACTCCGTTATCTTCGGCGTCTTCAGGAAACAAAGCGATTAAATCAGTTCGTTCTGTATGTTCAACTAGTATCCCCTCATGGGTACAGGTAAGAGTGCGTGAGTATGGTTTTACGCCGCTTTAAGCAATATTCCAGTAATATCACGAGGTGGATCGGGGAGGGGATGGACTTCACACATTGTACCAATGTGGGGAATCGAATCCGGGTCTTCGGCGTGACGAGCCAACGCTTTAACCATTAGGCTACCCCACCGCCCCGTTACAGGTATGACCCTGCCATGGTTCAGTTGTATATGTGCTAAACATGTTGTTACTTTATTGCCAGAGGAAGTGTGAAAAGTACTGGCCCAATGAGGGATCACGTGAGAGGTACGGTGACGTCGACGTGTCCTGCACGTGCGAGGACGTCATGTCCACGTATGTGGTCAGATTTCTTCAGACAAGTCTCCATACGGTAACCAACAAACACTTGTAACATTTGTTACATTTGGGATGGCGCTTTCTCTGTAGAGTACAGTTTCAGTACTTTTATTGGGTTGAGTCCCATCCGGGATTCCTGCCACACTCTCAGAGTCTGGCACCATATTGAAAATGTTACATTTGACCACTTTCTAAATGGCAGTGTGTATACATACATTCATTGATGATATAGATCTGCATCAGTGAGTAAGCGCGTGTTTATGGTTATACTGTACGTCGCAGTCCAGTTACGTCGCTGGTTTGTTACCATCGTGACTTGGCAAATGACTGATATAATGAGCAATGACCAGGTTATCAAGTTACCATGACACATAATCAACCAACAAGGACAGCCCTCAAAGCGTTTTGCGGAACCAGGCTGGTAAGTTAATATATTATCCACAAAAAATATATATATATTTTATATGTACTCTTTTGAAAGACCAAAGAGACTCGTCGAATCGTCCAGTATCATTTTACAACGTGGCCAGACCATGGAGTGCCGTCAGCGCCCTCTCTCGTCCAGTTCTGGCAACAGGTGAAGGATGAGACGTCCTCCAACAGACCGCTGCTAGTGCACTGCAGGTAGGATTAACGTTACAGGCTAATACCCGGATATAATTGTTACATTCTGTGTGAGGAGAAATGTAATGAGCATTCACTAATCATCACCCTATATGTGTCACTTATAACAATGACTAGAGCGTTTCATCGAGACATGAGGGACCGTTCATAATTTGGGATGAGGGTGGTGGGGGTGGGTGTGGGTTGGGTTGGGGTCTCACCCATTTTGTTCTGGGGATGTAGGTAGGTCATCAGTTTTGTACACATGCACTCGGGGGTTGAGGTGGGGGTGGTGTCGCCAATTTTGTACATGATCTTATTTAAAATATAGCTAACAAATTATGGGTGGTGGGGGTGGTCATTGTTAGTATGTACATGACATGAAGGAGGTCACTTACTTTATTCATACATTTTAGGGGGGGTCATTCACATTGTACATGCTTCTCCATAAATACCATCATCAGTAGCCCCCCCCCCCCCTCCCCCCCTCGCCATAAATTATGACGTCCCTAACAAAGACTTAGTGATGTAATACTCAGAGTACTTTCACAGTACTATGACACTAATGACGAAGTTGACACAAGCAATCGGTTCCTAGGTGAGGAAGTCTTAGCTCGTACATTGCAACAACGCCAACACTACCAAATATCAGCACTAATAAATTATACTTATGTGTGTTCTCTCCAGCGCCGGGGTGGGCAGAACAGGGACGTTCATCGGCCTTGACGCATTGATGGAGAGATGCAAGGTGGAGAGCACCGTCAATGTCTTCAGCTTCGTCAGCTCCATGAGAGGCGAGAGAATAAGTACCGTGCAGACTCGGGTAATTACGTGCCACGCATGTCTCGTGAACCCGTGTCAGTTTTACACTACAGTACCGATACGAGTCTTCAGCGTGACGAGCGAACACTTTAACCATTAGGCTACCCCACCGCCCCTTATAATATGACCTGCTATTTGGAATGAAATGGCCCAGCTGGGTCACATACCAATTATAACCATGCTCGAGGTTTCACTCGAGGTAAAACACTTCCAGGACTTGTGTCTCACTTCTGTCTTCTTAAGTTTAGGTGTTGACAATTTCCTGGTTATCCTGCTAAAGGAGGCGTTGGCATCAATACAGAACGTCGGTGCAACAGAATACCCAGTGCTGTTTTTCCTCAGAAAAAAGGGTAATAGGGTACCGATAGGGTAATGGGCAAATAGCAGTGAAAATTCTGTGAATAGATCACTGAAAACCAGGCACAAATGAAGACTCGTATCCAGTTACTAGTAGTATAATCAGTTCTAATATTAAAGACTCAATACTCCAAATTTTCGTCCAATGTGACGGGTAGATAATGTAGTGTCAGGCGTCTTCTGTCCAATATGTCGCCAAGCGGAACAGTGTTTGCAGTTACCTTTAATATCTTATGTCCAACTTTCGTTAGAATTCTATAATATCAGGTCAAATACCGGGTTCGAATCCCACATGACTGTCAACCTTCTCTGACAATTATCTCTTGTCCACAGCGACAGTACACCTTCCTCCATCTGGTGTTGCTGGAAGCTCTCTACAGCGAAGGTACACATCGGCTCAGTGACGAGCTTGTTGCGGGAATACGCTGTGAGGAGGAACATATTTGTGAGGAATTTCAGGTATAATATTTGACTAGTAGGTGCACATGTTACCGATATCAAACTTGAGGGCAATTGATTATTGATTATCGAGGCGAGGACATACATTCCGGCCATACTGGTAATGTGACACGAATCTGCATTCCAGTCGCAACTACTCGCTTCTTTCCGTGACCTACAAGAATATTGGTACCATTCGTAACTACTCGTGTCATTCCGACAAGCCGGATGGCGACTCGTACCCTCTCGTGGTCATGTTCACGACTGGGCCTTGTCTATACAGGTACGAGTCTTGGTGTAGGTCACGGAAAAGGGCGAGTACTTACGAATGGACTCGTACCTGTATAGTACGCCATTATTGCCAGGAATCGTGGCAAACCAATCAAATCGCGCGTAGTAAAATGTGAAATAAGTTAAATAGTTTCTTTGCAATTATCGATATTCATTATTATATCCGTGATTATAAAATTATCTTGTTACATTTGTTAACGACAAAAGAAACTTACTTAAAGTGACTTTCGTGTTGTATTATATATTTCTAGGAGTAGCCATGTTTGGAAATTCTTAAGAGTTATCTTTCATTAGTCGTGAACATGGCCACGCGAGGGCTACGTGTCGCCATCCGTCTTGCCTGAATGACACGAGTAGTTACGAATGTCTGCATTCGTGACCCACTCGTGTTATTCCGGGACAAGCCGAATACTGGGGTTACGGAAAGGAGCGAGTGGCGACGAAGGACGAATCCACTGCTCCATCTTGTGACATGCTGATGACGTCATATATTCACTGCTAAGACATCTCAGAATTCAAGTAGAATAATAATGTCCAGGTTTATCTACACAATTCCTTTTACAAAATCTGTAATACCGTCATTTAGGGAATTAGGCCCTTTGGGAGCACTTTGAGGTTTTTTTTAAGATTCCCCCCCCCCTTTCCGACTCGAAATGCTGCACAGTACAATACATTATGACAAAGCCGGACACTTCGGTATTCGATTTTGACTCAACTAAACGATCTTGACACAAATGGATGACGATATGTCCGCACAAAACGGGGGTGTGGTCGAAGCAAATTCGTGAGATTCAGAGAAGTTGTCACTATGTGAAACTTACATCAATTTTGCTTCATTTCACACCAAGGTGAAACGCCGTGATATAACAGTAATACCACACCCTCTCTATACCACTGGTCTGTGAATACTCTATTGTAGCGTATACAGGAACTTGCAGAACTCAACAGGAATCCTGCTGAAGAAGATACAGGTAATTCTTTCTTCACCATTAAGGATACTGTTACTTTATCAAGATATCTTATTATACAATGTGAAATAGAAGCCTCCATTGTTTAGTAGATTTATTGCCAGAGCCTCATAACAAAAGACATTAATAGATTTGTTGATACCATTCCCGCCTAAACAAATAACAAGGTTGACTGGTTGTCTCGGGGTCTCCTTGTTAAAGTGTGACATGGTATCTCAGCTGGGTAGCACCTTTAAACCCGCATTTATCCAAACTAGTCCAAATCCAATTTCATCTCACCTAGAGTGAAATCAGCATATACAACTTTACAACGAGTACTCTGTTTCTGATAGAGTTATCTCCCCATAGTATATCTCTGCCGCTGTTACTATGATTTCCGCGTGACGACAGACAGCGCTTCAAATAACAAATAAGACATTTTGTTTATATGCCCTAAAGGCCCTGTTTGTGAGGTCATTTGATGAGATAAGCATGTTATAGACATTAATTCCATGGTGTATTCAGTTATAACATACAACATTAACTGTCACAGTTGATACAGTCCATGTCTTTATGTGTGGGATGTTTCCAAGACCAAATATATTATAATTTTCGTTGCCTCTCATCGTTTTATTTTCATTTTAAAATGAACATTATCTCTTTTGAGATTAAAACGACAATATGTACAGAAATAGTCAGAAAAAAGTTTTATGCTTTGGTGTTTCGTTGTGTTGTTTTCTTAACATTTTATGCTTTGATAATGATTTCGTTGTTTTCGTTTTTCTGAAAATTGACAGAAAACTGATATAGGTTGTAAGTATGTCACAAAACTTAATGAATTAGGTTTTGAATCCGACTTCTCGCAAAACATGACGTTCTTGTGCCAATGTTTCAGAGGCTGATGTTAAAGAAGTCTCCTATGTTCCGGTAAGTCCGTCTCAATCCCAAAAAACCCCCAACAAAAACAACTGCATGAAAAACGAAAAAACAAACAAACCCAAACAAACAACAAAAACACAAAACAGACAAAACAAAACAAAACAAAAAAAAACCAAACCCCGTAACACACGACACACATGTTCATGTAGCTATGTGAAGGTATGTTTATCATTGATTCTATGTTCTAGTCATATACAAGTGACGTTGAGTTCCTCGTGACGTCATCACTGCCCGGCGACGCAGCTACTCACGTGTGGTCAGTGGTGGATGAATACAAGGCTACACTTGTAATAGCTATTTGTGATGATGTAAGTGCACAGTAAGTAACTGGACCTTGTTGCTAATGTAGGTCTAGTTCTCCGTTTTATTCCGCGTTGACCACGACTGCTCCAATATAAACCACGATAGAATTATACGTCGTTCTCACAACTTGGGGTCCAGGTTTACAACAGGCCCCAGCACACTAGTTTCTGGATCGCCTGGTCAGGATCGATGGCTTCGTTGATTGTCATCCCGCTCCAGCCAGAACGTTGCGCAGATATCAGCACCTGGAGTGTCTGTCCCACACTTAGCTGGAATATTGCTGACTACATCCACTACAACATATACTGCTACTTCTACCACTACTACAGCATCTACTGCTGTTTCTGCCACTACTACAACATCTACTGCTACTACAACATCGAGTGTGACAACACTTGCCTCAATCTGGTTCCTTCATCACGTCTTCCTGTTGCAGATCGCTACTGGAGTCATCCCCAGCCCTATGGGCGAGACAATGTTGGATGACACTCTGCTGCTGACGTTGAAATCATCAAGCTCCATTTCAGCGCACGTGCTGCAAACAGACATAATCGCGGCGCTTGATGACGGCTCGGTAAGTGTTTGTATTTACCTTAGTACAGTTCCCACTACTTCAGTTTTGCCCCCAACAAACCGGTTCCCACTACCTAGGCCGGCTTGTCTCAGTTGGGATTCAACTTGCGCCCCAAAGAACACGAGTCTGATCCACCCTGTCCCGACAGAACAGGTTCCCACCATCTTAGGATTCTCTCTGACAGAACATATTCCCACCATCCTAGGATTCTCTCCGACAGACCAGGTTCCCACCATCCTAGGATTCTCTCCGACAGACCAGTTTCCCACCATCCTAGGATTCTCTCCGACAGAACAGGTTCCCACCATCCTAGGATTCTCCCCATCAGAACAGGTTCCCACCATCCTAGGATTCTCCCCGTCAGAGCAGGTTCCCACCATCCTAGGATTCTCCCCAACAGAACAGGTTCCAACCATTCTAGAATTCTCCCCAACAGAACAGGTTCCCACCTTCCTAGGATTCTCCCCAACAGAACATGTTCCCACAATCCTAGGATTCTCTCCGACAGAACAGGTTCCCACCACCCTAGGTTTCTCTCCATCAGAACAGGTTCCCACCACCATAGGATTCTCTCCGACAGAACAGGTTCCCACCACCATAAAATTCTCCCCGACAGAACAAGTTCAAACCATCATAGGATCCTCTCCGACAGAACAGGTTCCCACCACGCCAATCTTGTCCCCCATCCTAGGTTTCTCTCTGTCAGAACAGGTTCAAACCATCCTAGGATTCTCTCCGACTGAACAGATTCCCACCACCATAAGATTCTCCCCGACAGAACAGGTTCCCACCACCCTAGGTTTCTCTCCGTCAGAACAGGTTCAAACCATCTTAGGAATCTCTCTGACACAACAGGTTCCCACCATCCTAGGTTTTTCTCAGACAGAACAGGTTCCCACCACCATCAATTTCTCCCCGACAGAACAGGTTCAAACCACCCTAGGATCCTCTCGGACAGAACAGATTCCCACCACGCCAGCCTTGTCCCCCACCCTAGGTTTCTTTCCGCCAGAACAGGTTCAAACCATCCTAGGATTCTCTCCGACACAACAGGTTCCCACCACCCTAGGTTTCTCTCCGAAAGAACAGGTTCCCGTCATCCTAGGTCCCTCTCCGACAGAACAGGTTCCCAGTACCTTGGTTCCTCTCCAACAGAACAGGTTCCCACCACCCTAGGTTTCTCGCCGACACAACAGGTTCCCACCACCCTAGGTTTCTCTCCGAAAGAACAGGTTCCCGTCATCCTAGGTTCCTCTCCGACAGAACAGGTTCCCACTACCCTAGCGGGATTCACCAACAGACCAGCTGTCCTCTTCCCCGGGTGTGTTCCCAACTGAGTTTCCCATCAGAACAGGTTTGATGTGCGCCATTGGAATTCCGGTTAAGACAGGATCCTTACACCTCATTAGTCCCATTCACCGCATACGGCGTTTATACCCTGTGGGTGGTGTACTTGATTGGCCACATGAGATGGGCGTTTACGGTATAGCATGGCTTACTCTTTTCTTTTAACTATCTATATTCCTGCTACCATTGCGTTATGGTAAATATGCACACGAAAGTCAGCTCTTCATCAACTTGAAGCGTACAGAAAATCCCTGCTTCATCTCTCTATAATGTTTCAAGTGACCAGTGTGTATAAAAGAAATTGATACCACTCAATTGAGTTTTTCACACAGCATTCCGATGAAGAAGACCAACCGTGGGTGGTGACGTTGTTTTCTACGCCATCAGTGACGGACTCAATCAGCGACGTGCTGACGCTGGTTGAGAAGCTGGAGAACACTCGCAACATGGCTGCAGAAAGTATTATTGTATACAGCTGGTAGGTTACCTGTAAATACATTATTGTATATAGCTGGTAGGTTACCTGTATATACATTATTGTATATAGCTGGTAGGTTACCTGTATATACATTATTGTATATAGCTGGTAGGTTACCTGTATATACATTATTGTATATAGCTGGTAGGTTACCTGTATATACATTATTGTATATAGCTGGTAGGTTACCTGTATATACATTATTGTATACAGCTGGTAGGTTACCTGTATATACATTATTGCATACAGCTGGTAGGTTACCTGTATATACATTATTGTATACAGCTGGTAGGTTACCTGTATATACATTATTGTATACAGCTGGTAGGTTACCTGTATATACATTATTGTATACAGATGGTAGGTTACTTTCACTCGCATTCTTATATACAGCTGGAACTTTATCTGAAATCACATTGTTGCTTGGAACAAATATTGTTGTATACAGCTGGTACGTTACCTGTACACACATTATTATATACATTATTATATACAGCTGGTACGTTACGTGTACACACATCGTTATATACAGTTGGTATGTTACCTGTGCACACATCGTTATGAAGAGCTGGTACGTTACCTGCACACACATTATTATATACAGCTGGTACGTTACCTGTATATACATTATTGTATACTGCTGGTACGTTACCTGTACATACATTGTTATATACTGTAGGTACGTAACCTGTACACACATTGTTACATACAGATGATACGTTACCTGTACACACATCGTTATATACAGCTGGTACGTTACCTGTACATACACATTGTTATTGTATAGCTGGTACGTTACCTGTACATACATTATTATATACAGCTGGTACGTTACCTGTACTCACATTATTATATACAGCTGGTACGTTACCTGTACACACATTATTGTATACAGCTGGTACGTTACCTGTACATACATTATTATATACAGCTGGTACGTTACCTGTACATACATTATTATATACAGCTGGTACGTTACCTGTACATACATTGTTATATACAGCTGGTACTTTATCTGAAATCACATTGTTACTTGGAACAAATATTGTTATATACAGCTGGTACGTTACCTGTACACACATTATTATATACATTATTATATACAGCTGGTACGTTACGTGTACACACATCGTTATATACAGTTGGTATGTTACCTGTGCACACATCGTTATGAAGAGCTGGTACGTTACCTGTACACACATTATTATATACAGCTGGTACGTTACCTGTACACACATTGTTATATACAGCTGGTACGTTACCTGTACACACATTATTATATACTGCTGGTACGTTACCTGTACACACATTGTTATATACTGCTGGTACGTTACCTGTACATACATTGTTATATACAGCTGGTACGTTACCTGTACATACATTGTTATATACTGCTGGTACGTTACCTGTACACACATTGTTATATACTGCTGGTACGTTACCTGTACACACATTGTTATATACTGCTGGTACGTTACCTGTACACACATTGTTATATACAGCTGGTACGTTACCTGTACTCACATTATTATATACAGCTGGTACGTTACCTGTACACATATTATTATATACTGCTGGTACGTTACCTGTACACACATTGTTATATACTGCTGGTACGTTACCTGTACACATATTATTATATACTGCTGGTACGTTACCTGTACATACATTGTTATATACTGCTGGTACGTTACCTGTACACATATTATTATATACTGCTGGTACGTTACCTGTACACACATTGTTATATACTGCTGGTACGTTACCTGTACACATATTATTATATACTGCCGGTACGTTACCTGTACACATATTATTACATCCAGCTGGAACGTTACCTGTACACACATTGTTATATACAGCTGGCACGTTACCTGTACACATATTATTATATACAGCTGGTACGTTATCTGTACACACATTGTTATATACAGCTGCTACGTTACCTGTACAGATATTATTACATCCAGCTGGAACGTTACCTGTACACACATTGTTATATACAGCTGGTACGTTACCTGTGCACCCATTGTTATATACATACGTTACCTGTACACATATATATACAGCTGGTACGTTACCTGTACACACATTGTTATATACAGCTGGCACGTTACCTGTACACACATTGTTATATACAGCTGGTACGTTACCTGTACACACATTGTTATATACAGCTGGTACGTTACCTGTGCACACATTGTTATATATAGATGATACCATATCTGTACATATATTGTGATATACAGATGTACGTTACCTGTACACATATTGTCACATACAGCAGGTACGTTACCTGTACACACATTGTCATATACAGCTGGTTTGTTACCAGTACACAGCTATAGAATTTGTAACAGTACTGTGTATGCAGGGCTTGACTGAAACGTAACCCGTGGAGATCCGGGTTAGAATTGAATTCCAGGAACACATGCTTGTAGTAAGAGGCGACTAACGGGATCGGGTGGTCAGGTTCTCTGACTGGGTTGACACATGTCATCGTATCTAAATTGCGTAGATCGATGCTCATGCTGTTGATCACTAGATTCTCTGGTTCAGACTCTAATATTTATAGAGAACCGCCATATAGCTGGAATATTGCTGAGGGGCTAAACTACAAAGAAACAGAAACAAACTTGATGAAACGTAAACCACAGCTGTAGGCTGTATGGGTTACCAGGACAAGCATGCTGATGTGTCATCTCTGCCTTCAGTCCAGACAGCCACCCTGCCGTGTTGTTGTGCACCATCGTCAACGTCATCCAGCGACTTCAGCGACACTCGGGCGTGGACATATACCTCGCCGTGAGGGAGATGCAATCCGTCATACCGTCATACCACGTCTCACAGGTAGGAAGGAGGTCCGGAAAAGAAGATTGTGTTTGTAGTTGTTTGTAGTGATACTATCGCACACCTTCTACCACAATGTTCACTTCTTGTTTCAGGACGACTATAGGTTTCTCTACAAGCTCGCCTCTCAGTATGTTACCTCCACCAACATCTACGCCAACGCTTACGTATAGCGCCAGTCACTACCCTAACGTCGACGTCACTGGTTACACAGCCTTGCATACAGACATTATCAACAGTGGTGACAGTTGATACTCCATGTGCTGGCTTCAGTCAGTCCCATTAAGCCCAGCTCCATGGTGACCCACATGGTAGTTACTGGTGTAACTTGTTCCATTGTGACTTCTCTCGTCCTTTGTTTTTGATGGATACCATATTTAGTGATTCTTTAACACTTAATTCTGATGCAGTATTGATTGTGCAATGACCTGTTATGATCATACGAGAGAGAGAGAGAGAGAGAGAGAGAGAGAGAGAGAGAGAGAGAGAGAGAGAGAGAGAGAGAGAGAGAGAGAGAGAGAGAGAGAGAGAGAGAGAGAGAGAGAGAGAGAGAGAGAGAGAGAGAGAGAGAGAGAGAGAGAGAGAGAGAGAGAGAGAGAGAGAGGAGAGAGAGACAGAGAGAGACAGAGACAGAGAGAGAGAGAAGGGGTGGAGAGACTACCAAATAGAAATGACTGTATTCCTTCAGCACTGATGATTATGTATATATTAAATATCTTTCAGAATTACAGTGATGAGCTGAATAAAGATTATGCTCGTATGTCGCGTATGCTTTTTGAAAGAAGCTTTACCAATAAGAAAATAGTCCAGACTGTCAAGAGGTTAGTTGAAACAACGAGAAAATAATCGGTGCAACGATACATTTCGATTAAAAAGGATTTCTTTGGCAACAAAAGAGTCATCATGAGGCCTCCGTATCTATGAAACTCCAACTGTCTCGGGTGATATGTTGTTATTACCTAGTTTTAGGGCGACGTGGGCCAATAAGAGGCCTATTTGCGCCCAACACACTGACTTGATTTAATAAACAATCATAGGTGATTTCATCGCCAAAAGGAATCGTTTAGTTAAGATAAAAGAAACGACAACACTATTAATTTGGATAGATGTATACGTATGTCGAATAACCTCTGCTTTGTGTTACGGATTAAAAATCTTAAGTAATCACTTCCATTTCTGAAACATGAAATACTCATTCATTTAAAAAACAGTAGGTTCAGATGACAGAGTGTTAAAATGATTTAAAATCACAGAACTAAATCTGTCTAAGCCATTCAAGAGCCTGTCTAGATTACATCATATTTTCCAGATGACGAGACAAAATCTAAAACTGCCTGTTGCACAGACCCCTACATGATATTGGGAGACTGCTGTTTGTTATCTCCCTTACACGTTTGTCTGCTGGTGACTGTCCACTGTCGCGGTCAGTAGTTTAGTTTAGTTACTTTGTTGCGGTACAATGTTTGTATCGTCAACATTTTACCATCTGACTGAGATCTAAGACCAGTAATAGATGAAGGGACATCAGCTTTTGTAACAGTAGGCCATCTCCCAAAACGGGTTAAATAGATGTGTATAAGTATTAAACAGATGATTACTCTTGGTAAATAACGTGAAATGATGCATGCCCATTCCTCGTTCTCCGTACCCCCTCTCCCCCTCCCTCCACGAGCGGCATCGAGAAGCTCAATGTTTAACTGTTTTACAAGGTGTATGAAATGTTTTGGGACATTTTGGTTCAAACTGAATATATGCTTTTTTCTTTGAAATACACTGAACAAGGACGTGCTTTGTCGCAACACACTTGGGGGAATTCCATCACCCCAACCATTAGAACTAATCTAATCTGATCGCCTACTGCGGATATGATCAACACCTTATGGTGTCCTTAAGGTTGACTAACCGGATCGGTTGTTAGGCTCGCAGGCTTGGTTGATGCATCGTATTCATGATGTCAATAACTGGAATAACTAGCCTAGACTTTGAATACACAATGTCATTTACAAAGTGGTCAAATGTAACATATGTTATACTTGGGATTACACTTTCTCAATACAGTACAGATTCTAGTACTTTTGCTGGGTTGAGTCAGAACACAAAGTCGCCGCCTAACCCGCTCAGCCACCGCGACTTCCACAAAAATGGAAGTCGGACAACTGGTAGTCCAGACCACGGACCTTGTTATAGTCCAGACTCAATGATTTACCAACCACTGTCATATAGCTCGAATATTGCTCGCTGGTGCAGTAAACAACAAACAAATACATAAACAATGACAATGGGCGCCAGACTAAACCAAACAGCTTGTTTATTTCATAGTGATTCATAAACACAAGTATTATCATCGTATCGCATGGTGACAATCACTGGATTGTCTGGTCCAGACTCGATTTGTTTACAAACACGATCATACAGCTGTAATACTGCTGAAACAAACATATGCTCATGATATAGCCACAATTGTGCAATCGATGCGGCTCTCAACAGAGATTTTTTATGAATGTAGATAGGGTTTTGTCGTTTCTATTTCAGTAGCACCGGAGAGTAGATACATACATGTTACATATGCATACATAATACATGCACATGGTTGTCATTTGCAGGTTTTTATAAGTTTGGATAAGTAAAATACCTGATAAGTAAACAATTTTGGCGAGTCCCTTGAAATTTTACTTATCAGGTTTCCACTGTATATCCTTCTGAACAACGACCTTGAAATGCATTTGGAAGATGTACACATGTCAATGTTGTTTAGAAATAAAAAAACTAGTTATCCAGAAAGTCTGACTATAATATTGTACTTCCTGTCAAGATCACATAGTAGTTTGGTTTAACTGTATGACGTGTGTTACAGTGTGGTTGGACAGTAGTAGGTGAATATCAGGGTGTGGGAATGGGTAGAAAGCATGCAAGGTGGTATGAGGAGGCTAGTGTGGCAAGAAAAGCATGCAAGGTGTGAGGTTTGATTATATTAGGCAGAGTGCAAGGGTTGGTGAGTGCAGTCATGAAAGTTGTCTGATGAGGATGGCTGTATTTGCACGGTGCCTGGTCTGATTTCATGGCTGCCCGGAACCTGTGCCGGACCGTATAAAAGGCAGTATCTGTGTGGTAACCTCGCCTTGTGTGTAAGAGGCAGATCAGTATGATGTCCTCGACCTGTAAAAGGTGGCGTCTGTGTTGCCTCCTCATGTATCTGACCAGCGAAACATCGTCAGGATGGCTGACCGTGAGAGAGATAGAGGTTGTCATGACCTTATGCTATGTGAGAAGAGCTACAACTATGATTGAACTTTATCATCAGTGAGCATTCAGTCCCATTCCGTGTTTGATACACGTGGTGTACGCTCTGTACAATGTAAAATAGTTGTACTATACAAATGTAGTGTTCTATTGGGTTAGGTTTTTTTTGTGTGTGTGTGTGTGTGTAAAGGGTATATACAGGAGTGATTGTGTGCTACTATTATGTTTGGTGATGAATGCGGTATGCATGAAGGGTGATTTGGGGTTTGATTTTGGGGAAATGGTTTTGTTTCCATTATATATATAAGTTTTGTAATAAATTTCATTTATTACATTTCTGCCTTTGCCTTATTCATCTCGTATTGTGACACTTCCCAACATCTAAAATGCCCCTCAAATGCTGATGTTCTGGTAAACAAATGGTAGAATTCCTTCTTGATACAAAGTGATGTGTATATATGTTTTGTGGTTAAGAGGGAAATTATACAGAGAGATGTCAAATTTACTCATATTGTTGATTTTGCTATGGATATAATACCACATGCTCCATATATTTGTTTTTTCAGTTTAACATACTGCCTGCGACATATGCGCAGCCAACAGGACTACGTTGTCGGGGATATAAGTAGTGTTTTTCAGATCATTAATTCCATTTCTAAATTTTACTGACTAATTTCTCTGGGATCAGATCAAAATAGTTTCGATCATAAACACAATGCATACATTAAAGATCGGAGACTTACGATGCATTACATTATTTGAGTCATTCATTTTTCTGCCTAACCACTCCAAATGTAGGATTCGTTTACGTCTTGGTAAAACCTTCACTGAGTATCGACAGCATGTTGCGTCTATACTCTGAAAAAAGGTTTCTGATCTTGCCGAAGATGAGAAATTATGGACTGAGCTGGTGATGATAGTGTTAAAGGCTTTATTGTCTGCAAAATATATATTACATCAATGTTAGTTGGTGTTCAGGCGAGGGACGAAAAACGTTTCTCCTGTGGCGTGACGAAAGTGTCCACGTCAGAACCAGGTATGTGCACAAAATACAACAGGTAAGACAATTAGGAGTAAGAAGTGTACGTAAAAGGTCATACAGGACAGTGAGATGAGGAGTGAGTGAGTGAGTTTAGTTTTACGCCGCACTCAGCAATATTCCAGCTATATGGCGGCGGTCTGTAAATAATCGAGTCTGGACCAGACAATCCAGTGATCAACAGCATGAGCATCGATCTGCGCAATTGGGAACCGATGACATGTGTCAACCAAGTCAGCGAAACTGACCACCCGATCCCGTTAGTCGCCTCTTACGCGTGAGATGAGGAACAGTTGAAATCAATGCAAGATGTCTCAGTGTAGAGTGCCTACTATATGACTTGGGGACATCCATTCGAAACTTTACAATGAACTGATTGCATTCTCACCTGCGCAGTTCACATCAGTCATCATCTACTCGTACGCGTACGATCCTGAAACTTATAAGAATCCCTTACCGAGTGATCCCCAGATTGCTATAGCATCCATTCACAGTACATCTTGTCGTGACTTGTACCAAAAATATCTGAATAGTTGATGTACCAACAATGCTAGTATTATTAGCTTGCATTAAATGCATGCTCTACCGTCAACTCTATTACGTCCATTAACTGCGTCTTCTGTGGAAAGGTGTACCATCAAAGTTATAGCGTCCATTAACTGCATCTTCTGTGGAAAGGTGTACAATCAAAGTTATAGCGTCCATTAACTTCTTCTTCTGTTGAAAGGTGTACCATCAACGCAATAGCGTCCATTAACTGCGTCTTCTGTGGAAAGGTGCGTGTACGATCCTGAAACTTATAAGAATCCAGATGTAATTCATCCCTTACCGAGTGATCCCCAGATTGCTATAGCTTAAGATTAACTGCTTCTTCTGTGGAAAGGTGTACCATCAAAGTTATAGCGTCCATTAACTGCGTCTTCTGTGGAAAGGTATACCAACAAAGTTATAGCATCCATTAACTGCGTCTTTTGTGGAAAGGTATACCAACAAAGTTATAGCATCCATTAACTGCGTCTTCTGTGGAAAGGTGTACGAACAAAGTTATAGCGTCCATTAACTGCATCTTCTGTGGAAAGGTGTACCAACAAAGTTATAGCATCCATTAACTGCATCTTCTGGGGAAAGGTGTACCAACAAAGTTACAGCGTCCATTAACTGCATCTTCTGTGGAAAGGTGTACCAACAAAGTTATAGCGTTCATTAATTGCATCTTCTGGGGAAAGGTGTACCATGAACGTTATATAGCGTCCATTAACTGCATCTTCTGGGGAAAAGTGTACCATGAACGTTATATAGCGTCCATTAACTGCATCTTCTGGGGAAAGGTGTACCATGAACGTTATATAGCGTCCATTAACTGCATCTTCTGGGGAAAGGTGTACCATCAAAGTTATAGCGTCCATTAACTGCGTCTTCTGTGGAAAGGTGTACCAACAAAGATATAGCGTCCATTAACTGCATCTTCTGTGGAAAGGTGTACCAACAAAGTTATAGCGTCCATTGACTGTGTCTTCAGTGGAAAGGTAGACCATCAACGTGATATCGCGTCCATTAAGTGCATCTTCTGCGGAAAGGCATACAAACAAAGTTATAGCGTCCATTAACTGCATCCTCTGTGGAAAGGTGTACCATCAAAGTTATAGCGTTCATTAACTGTGTCCTCTGTGGAAAGGTGTACCAACAAAGTTATAGCGTCCATCAACTTCGTCTTCTGTGGAAAGGTGTACCATCAACGTGATATAGCGTCCATTAACTGCATCTTCTGGGGAAAGGTGTACCATGAACGTTATATAGCGTCCATTAACTGCATCTTCTGTGGAAAGATGTACCATCAACGTTATATAGCGTCCATTAACTGCATCTTCTGTGGAAAGGTGTACCAACAAAGTTATAGCGTCCATTAACTGCATCTTCTGTGGAAAGGTGTACCAACAAAGTTATAGCGTCCATTAACTTCATCTTCTGTTGAAAGGTGTACCATCAAAGTTATAGCGTCCATTAACTGCGTCTTCTTTGGAAAGGTGTACCAACAAAGTTATAGCGTCCATTAACTTCGTCCTCTGTGGAAAGGTTTTCCATCAACGTGATATCGCGTCCATTAAGTGCATCTTCTGCGGAAAGGCATACAAACAAAGTTATAGCGTCCATTAACTGCATCCTCTGTGGAAAGGTGTACCATCAAAGTTATAGCGTTCATTAACTGCATCTTCTGTGGAAAGGTGTACAATCAAAGTTATAGCGTCCATTAACCGTATCTTCTGTGGAAAGGTGTACAATCAATGCTATTGCGTCCATTAACTTCTTCTTCTGTTGAAAGGTGTACCATCAACGCAATAGCGTCCATTAACTGCGTCTTCTGTGGAAAGGTGCGTGTACGATCCTGAAACTTATAAGAATCCAGATGTTATTCATCCCTTACCGAGTGATCCCCAGATTGCTATAGCTTAAGATTAACTGCGTCTTCTGTGGAAAGGTATACCAACAAAGTTATAGCATCCATTAACTGCGTCTTCTGTGGAAAGGTATACCAACAAAGTTATAGCATCCATTAACTGCGTCTTCTGTGGAAAGGTGTACCAACAAAGTTATAGCATCCATTAACTGCATCTTCTGTGGAAAGGTGTACCAACAAAGTTATAGCATCCATTAACTGCATCTTCTGGGGAAAGGTGTACCAACAAAGTTATAGCGTTCATTAACTGCATCTTCTGGGGAAAGGTGTACCATGAACGTTATATAGCGTCCATTAACTGCATCTTCTGGGGAAAGGTGTACCATGAACGTTATATAGCGTCCATTAACTGCATCTTCTGGGGAAAGGTGTACCATCAACGTTATATAGCGTCCATTAACTGCATCTTCTGTGGAAAGGTGTACCATCAAAGTTATAGCGTCCATTAACTGCGTCTTCTGTGGAAAGATGTACCATCAAAGTTATAGCAATGCTTTTGAACACATAATGTGTATTAAATGCTTATGAACACATAAATCGTTATTACAATTGTCGCTGGTTGACGCAGGTTGCCCCAGCTTGGGCGCCAAAATGTCGCAGGTTTAAGATACGACCACTGGGCTGGTGCCCAATGTCTTTATTCTGCCATTTGCCATTTGAGGTACAAACACTGAGCCTGCCATAAACCTGTTATTAGGGACACTACACGTGAGGGCTTCCACTGCCAGCATGGTGGGTAATACATTATATAAAATTGTGATAAAGTAAAACTATTGTGACATTACATAATTAGTGAAGAAAAACTGATTATGAAAGTCAATGGTAACTAAACCATTATTACAGACAGTTACCAGAATACAGGATAGACCGGACTTCTAATTGAGAAATTGTTTTAATATGAACCGAGCATTCTCTTCAAATGGTGCAAAACTCTGGAAAAATCTACCACAAGAACTTCGATCACTGACTGAACTTGCATCTTTCAAAAGCCAGTTAAAGACTCATCTTTTTACCAAAGCCTACCTTTAGCTCCAGCGTGGACATCGGATTCTGGCGCTATAGAAGTTTTGTATGTATGTATGTATGTATGTATGTATGTATGTATGTATGTATGTATGTATGTATGTATGTATGTATGTATGTATGTATGTATGTATGTATGTATGTATGTATGTATGTATGTATGTATGTATGTATGTATGTATGTATGTATGTGTATGTATGTATGTATGTATGTATGTATGTATGTATGTATGTATGTATGTATGTATGTATGTATGTATGTATGTATGTATGTATGTATGTATGTATGTATGTATGTATGTATGTATGTATGTATGTATGTATGTATGTATGTATGTATGTATGTATGTATGTATGTATGTATGTATGTATGTATGTATGTATGTATGTATGTATGTATTTCATTCAAACAAACTTGCATACCTGTAATTAGGGATACTACACGGTGAGGGCTTGTACTTTATGATATTTACATTTGAAGTTGTGTGATCAAAATTAAAAACACATATGTTTGAAATCAGGTGTTTATGAAGCTAATCCTGTTGCGGATTAGGCAGAAGTATGACTCCTGTGAAGTTTGTTCGTCTCCAAATGAGAACGATGAAATGAATAATATTAAAAAATCAGAAATAGTCCAATGAAAGTCAATACTGTACATGGATATAAAAAGATATGAACTGTTGACCATTGGTTTACCATGACTATAAAAGTTGTTTAAGAAACTATCACGTTGGTATGTCTACTGGAACTTTACTCCCTCTCTTCCGGCTCCCGGCCCCTAGTGGAGAAGTGAATAGATACGGCATATTGAATATAACTTATGTGTTAAATTATCTGAATACAAAATAATCACAGGTCACTGTGGATGGTATAACTGATGATGAGACCGCCTCCATGGTGTAGTGGTTAGAGCTTCCGCCCGGAGAACGGAAGGTTGCGGGTTCGATCCCCGACCGCGTCATACCAAAAGACGTTAAAATATGGTACTTGTTGGTCCCTGCCTGGCGCTGGGCATTAATGGGTACAACAAGGACTGGTCGGCTCGGAGTCAGTATAATGTGTTTGAGTGGGGTATTCATGCTTCACTGCGGCATGGTATCTCAGTGGGCTAGCACTGTAAAACCAGCTTCAGTCTGGGCTAGTACAAGCAGCCGCACATACACATACACACGCATGCACGTCTTCATACGAGCGAAATATTCTCAAGCACGACGTAACTCCAGATAGCATTCAGACGTTGGCCCAACGTTGGCAATGGTTTTGCCAACATTGACAACGTTGGGCCAGCATCCGAATGCTATCTGGGTAAAACCCAATTTCACCTCACCTCACTGATGATGATGATAATGGTGATGATGAGAATTTAGTTGTTGTAGAATTCTATGGCTAGGTATGGTCAGATATCATATACATACATCCGCAGACAAGAACACAGGCAGACGACACCAACAGCAGACGACATCACCAGATAGATCAGACGACATCACCAGATGGAGCAGACGTGCTGCTTCGGGCTACGTCTGCTCATATCTACGTCAACCTTTCATCGTGTGTCTCTCTATAAGTGGAAGATTTTAAGAAGAGTGCGCCATCACGTGACGTGTAATTTTCACCCAGGTATCGATCTTACCATTTGTTTATACATTGGTTGAGATTTTCGCAACGTTTATCCATTGGTTGCAAAGAATATCGATCTGTCTCCGAGACCTGTTGGAGTGATACAGGCGACAGTATGTGTATGCGACAGTGTCACTCACCAAAACAAGATCATAGACTGTACGCACTTATGAGCCTCATTGCTCGGGAGGTACAATAGATGAGCCTATTGTTTCCATCTCACGATGGTGTTATCGCCCTTGTTAGTGTCGTGTTGAAGACAATACAGCTTGTCTTAGTATTGATTTTCTGTTGGACCACAGATGATGAATTTGAGAATGCCGAGCAAAGTATCGGAATAACATGCTGGGTGTCCTCTTTGTAACTATATTGTGTTGACTAATTCAAATCTGGCAAATAATTAACTGTTTTGAAAATCAGGTGTAAAATGGTATAAACTAAATGCCAGATCATGAATAAGGGGCATGGTTTGCGGACTCCCTTCCTGAAAACCATCTTTCCGTGTTGCTTGATGTCTCATTAGCAAACACGATGACATAATCACAAATCGATCCGATTAGATTGCAAGAAATACAAACTAATTATGCCCTTTGTCTCTGTTGAGTCTGTGTGTTTCCAACAGCCAACAATTACATAACTCGTACTCCAAGAGTTGAACATCGATTGTGTTAGTCGCAGCAGAGGCATGCAACGTTTCAGCAGCGTCGTATACTCCTCCATCCCCGATTGAAACCTTCGCCATCAGCAACCAAAACCAGTCGTGCACAAGTCACCACTCCATCTACTCTCAGCGCAGGGACTACGACCCAATGAACATGCATCCATATGATTCATGAACTCTTCTCCACATGAGAGATAAAGACAAGCCGTCTTTCGTCAACCGTGTGTTGATTGCGTCAACAACTTGCACAAGGACAGGGAGGGTTCGCGATGCGGCAGGTTCAGCTGGCAGACCGGGGGCAGTGTGATTAGTCTGACATACGTTTACTGTCCAGCGTGCACAGTGGGAGGAGGAGGAGGGCGACGTCCACGACGTAGGATGACTTGTTATGTTTACAAAGGGAAGACGGACGTGGATACAAACCAATGATCACCTTCACAGCGCCGTGCATTGCTCTCCTGTGTGTTCTGCTGTTGGACTTGTGCAGGGGTAAGTGACACAGGGTCTTGTACGGGTCTGTTCATGGGGTCTGTTCACGGGGTCTGGTCACTGGGTTTATGGCTTCATGATAATTGTGTATATCTGAATTCTGTCCTTTGTATGAGAAAAACTGATGAATTTTCGGTATTACAAAATTGTTTGATTTGGAAAAAAATATTAGTTCTATTGATTGTAATTATCGTAATAGCGTTTATCTTGTAATTGGATGACCTTTATGCATGATGTGGGGATAACAGAAATATGTGTTGTTAGATAGGAGTAAATATATTTTGTTTTTCAATTCGGAATGAGTCATACCTAAACGGCAGTGAATGACTTTCGTCACATGTCTGTGCATTATGTCAATGTATTTGTCGATAGTCACTGTTATGGTCTGTACGTATTCCCACACATATGAATGTGTTGCCTAGCAACAACTCTTCAACATAAAATCGGTGGTTTACAATGAAAAGTCAAACAATGTAAATCTCACGATGGATGCGGAAGACGAAGGATATATTCAACCAAACATTCTTAATCCGTCGATTCTTGTGACTGTTAGAAGAGTTATGCTGATTGGAAATATAAAACGCATATAATTCATTCTTCACCAGAATTTCAGTGATCAAATCGTACAGTTATTGTTTCGACATTTGTACCTACTGCGATGTTTCGTCCGATAGTCGTGACAAGTTATCCTCTGATCATTACCATTCATAATGTTTTAATGATTGTAGCCGGGTTCTTATTAACATATATTCGCTGTATCTGACCTCGATATATCCAAAGTAGACAATAGTGAAGCCCACATACAGTGCACGTCACCCTCCATGACATTGCTGGAGTGTTGATAAGCAACCTAAAACTACACTCGCTCCACCCGAGGACACAGTAAGTCGTATCCATGGAGACGATGCATCGGTTCTTAAAGGATGGGGTAGACTAGTGGCTGCAGCTTTGATTCGTCATGTCGATGACCTGGGTTCGACTTTCTGCGTGGTGAATCACATTTGTGGTGTTCAGTGCAGTGATACGTTGGTATATTGCCATCAGCGGTGTATATCATACTGGGATGCTTTGTTTACTGAAGATACTAACGTCGTTGGGATGCTTTGTTTACTGAATATACTCATTATCGTCACCAGGATGCTTTGTTTACTGAATATACTTACTAACGTCACCAGGATGCTTTGTTTACTGAATATACTCACTAACGTCATCAGGCTGGTTTCTTTACTGAATATACTCACTAACGTCATTAGGATGTTTTGTTTACTGAATATACTCACTAACGCCATCAGGATGTTTTGTTTACTGAATATACTCATTATCGTCATCAGGATGTTTTGTTTACTGAATATACTCACTAACGTCATCAGGATGCTTTGTTTACTGAAAATACTCACTAACGTCTTCACGATGCTTTTGTTTACTGAAAATACTCACCATCGTCACCAGGATGCTTTGTTTACTGAAAATACTCACTATCGTCACCAGGATGCTTTGTTTACTGAATATACTCACTATCGTCACCAGGATGCTTTGTTTATTGAATATACTCACTATCGCCATCAAGATGCTTTGTTCACTGAAGATACTAACGTCATCAGGACTGTATGCTTACTGAATATATTCACTATCGTCATCAGGATGCTTTGTTTATTGAATATACTCACTAACGTCACCAAGATGCTTTGTTTACTGAATATACTCACTAACGTCATCAGGATGCTTTGTTTACTGAATATACTCACTAACGTCATCAGGATGCTTTGTTCACTGAATATACTCATTAACGTCATCAGGATGCTTTGTTTACTGAATATACTCACTAACGTCATCAGGATGCTTTGATTACTGAATTTACTCACTAACATCTCCAGGATGCTTTGTTTACTGAATATACTCACTATCGTCATCGGGATGTTTTGATTATTGAATATACTCACTATCATCATCAGGATGCTTTGTTTACTGAATATACTCACTAAAGTCACCAGGATGCTTTGTTTACTGAAGATACTAACGTCATCAGGATGGTTTGTTCATGAATATACTCATTAACGTCATCTGGATGCTTTGTTTACTGAAGATACTAACGTCATCAGGATGCTATGTTTACTGAAGATACTCACTATCGCCATCAAGATGCGTTGATTACTGAATATACTCACTAACGTCACCAAGATGCTTTGATTACTGAATATACTCATTAACGTCATCAGGATGCTTTGTTTACTGAATATACTCACTAACGTCATCACGATGCTTTGATTACTGAATATACTCACTAACGTCACCAAGATGCTTTGATTACTGAATATACTCACTAATGTCATCAGGATGCTTTGTTTACTGAATATACTCACTATCGCCATCAAGATGCTTTGCTTACTGAATATACTCACTAACGTCACCAAGATGCTTTGATTACTGAATATACTCACTAACGTCATCAGGATCCTTTGTTTACTGAATATACTCACTAACATCATCAGGATGCTATGTTTACTGAATATACTCATTAACGTCATCAGGATGATTTGTTTACTGAATATACTCACTAACGTCATCAGGATGCTTTGTTTACTGAATATACTCACTAACGTCATCAGGATGCTTTGATTATTGAATTTACTCCCTAACATCTCCAGGATGCTTTGTTTACTGAATATACTCACTAACGTCACCAGAATGCTTTGCTTACTGCATATACTCACTAACGTCACCAGAATGTTTTGTTTACTGAATATACTCACTATCGTAACCAGGATGCTTTGTTTACTGAATATACTCACTATCGTCGTCAGGATGCTTTGTTTACTGAATATATTCATTAACGGCACCAGAATGCTTTGCTTACTGAATATACTCACTAACGTCACCAGAATGCTTTGCTTACTGAATATACTCACTACCGTCACAAGGATGCTTTGCTTACTGAATATACTCACTATCGTCACCAGGATGCTTTGTTTACTGAATATACTCACTATCGTCGTCAGGATGCTTTGTTTACTGAATATATTCACTAACGGCACCAGAATGCTTTGCTTACTGAATATACTCACTACCGTCGTCAGGATGCTTTGTTTACTGAATATATTCACTAACGTCACCAGAATGCTTTGCTTACTGAATATACTCACTACCGTCACAAGGATGCTTTGTTTACTGAATATACTCACTATCGTCACCAGAATGCTTTGTTTACTGAATATACTCACTATCGTCATCAGGATGCTTTGTTTACTGAATATACTCACTAACGTCATCAGGATGCTTTGTTTACTGAATATACTCACTAACGTCATCAGGATGCTTTGCTTACTGAATATACTCACTAACGTCACCAAGATGCTTTGATTACTGAATATACTCACTAATGTCATCAGGATGCTTTGTTTACTGAATATACTCACTATCGCCATCAAGATGCTTTGATTACTGAATATACTCACTAATGTCATCAGGATGCTTTGTTTACTGAATATACTCACTATCGCCATCAAGATGCTTTGCTTACTGAATATACTCACTAACGTCACCAAGATGCTTTGATTACTGAATATACTCACTAACGTCATCAGGATCCTTTGTTTACTGAATATACTCACTAACATCATCAGGATGCTTTGTTTACTGAATATACTCACTAACGTCATCAGGATGCTTTGATTATTGAATTTACTCCCTAACATCTCCAGGATGCTTTGTTTACTGAATATACTCACTAACGTCACCAGAATGCTTTGCTTACTGCATATACTCACTAACGTCACCAGAATGTTTTGTTTACTGAATATACTCACTATCGTAACCAGGATGCTTTGTTTACTGAATATACTCACTATCGTCGTCAGGATGCTTTGTTTACTGAATATATTCATTAACGGCACCAGAATGCTTTGCTTACTGAATATACTCACTAACGTCACCAGAATGCTTTGCTTACTGAATATACTCACTACCGTCACAAGGATGCTTTGCTTACTGAATATACTCACTATCGTCACCAGGATGCTTTGTTTACTGAATATACTCACTATCGTCGTCAGGATGCTTTGTTTACTGAATATATTCACTAACGGCACCAGAATGCTTTGCTTACTGAATATACTCACTACCGTCGTCAGGATGCTTTGTTTACTGAATATATTCACTAACGTCACCAGAATGCTTTGCTTACTGAATATACTCACTACCGTCACAAGGATGCTTTGTTTACTGAATATACTCACTATCGTCACCAGAATGCTTTGTTTACTGAATATACTCACTAACGTCATCAGGATGCTTTGTTTACTGAATATACTCACTAACGTCATCAGGATGCTTTGTTTACTGAATATACTCACTAACGTCATCAGGATGCTTTGCTTACTGAATATACTCACTAACGTCACCAGAATGCTTTGCTTACTGAATATACTCACTAACGTCACCAGAATGCTTTGCTTACTGAATATACTCACTAACGTCATCAGGATGCTTTGTTTACTGAATATACCCACTAACGTCATCAGGATGCTTTGATTATTGAATTTACTCCCTAACATCTCCAGGATGCTTTGTTTACTGAATATACTCACTAACGTCACCAGGATGCTTTGCTTACTGAATATACTCACTAACGTCACCAGAATGTTTTGTTTACTGAATATACTCACTATCGTAACCAGGATGCTTTGTTTACTGAATATACTCACTATCGTCGTCAGGATGCTTTGTTTACTGAATATATTCATTAACGGCACCAGAATTCTTTTTGGTTACTGAATATACTCACTAACGTCACCAGAATGCTTTGCTTTACTGAATATACTCACTACCGTCACAAGGATGCTTTGCTTACTGAATATACTCACTATCGTCACCAGGATGCTTTGTTTACTGAATATACTCACTATCGTCGTCAGGATGCTTTGTTTACTGAATATATTCACTAACGGCACCAGAATGCTTTGCTTACTGAATATACTCACTACCGTCGTCAGGATGCTTTGTTT